AGAAATCCATTGAGAAACAACTGTAGACAATTAGGAATGAGATTTGGTCTGACAAAGGTGTCCAACCCTTCCCAGGTCAGCTACTGTTGGAGATTGCTGAGGCCAGAAAAGCAGGAGCTGGGTCCCCAGAAGAAAAGTGTTGGTGAAGGAGGGAGCGAGAAAAATAAAGCAGACATAGTAGGGATTTGGGATGGAGTAGTCCAAAGAAGGAGGTGAGAGACCCAGTTCAGATCTAGACAGGGGAGGTGGGAAATCTAATAGACCCCTCTCTCTATGCCTGCATACTAAGTGCCCTCCAGTGGCATCTTAGCTCTTGCACAGCCTAGAAAAGACATCAGAAAAAAGCAGGAGAACTGAGAAGGGAAGACTGGCTGGAAAGAGGCAGGATAGGAGAAGAGCTAGCAGGAACTGCAAGAGAACAGGACCGGTTTGAGAAGGAATGTGTTGAGTGGGGGCAGCTTGGTTTGACATTCACACTGTGGACCCTATGGACCACTCGCTTGCATTCAAAGGGCTGCAAGTATAGGCACTTGGAGACTTCAGATTTTCAGAGTCAGGGGACAGGGAGCGTCCCAAGCCAGGGAGCATCCCAAGCCAACCCCAAGGATAGCGAGGACAGCCTTGCCAGTTGGGGTTAGGAAGCTTGGAGTCCAGAGGTGCTCTCTGCCCCACAGCTCAATCCTCCCTTGGAGTGAGAAGATGTTAAGCTGACTGTCAAGTGATGGTTTTTGCAGCACCTGTCCCTTGAATGTGTTGGAAATGCCCCAGGCACAACAACCGGGGTAACGGGCTTCCAATTGCCCAACTGCGCAGTGACTGCCCAGAGGCCACCCCGCCCAGGCTTTGTGGAGAGGCTCGCGGCTGCCCAGACCTCCTCTACTACAAGAAGAAGCGGATGCGGCAGAGGCGCCTGGACAGACTTTATTCTGATATCCCGCCTGGGAAGGCGGGTGGAGCGCGGGTTGCACTACCACCATCCTCAGACAGTGGCAGTCAACCCTCCAAAGAGGGTCCGGGAAGCGATGCGCAGCACCGCCCCCACCCCCCAACTTTAGAACAAACCAGGAGAAGCCTCAGAAAGGCTTGGCCAGTTTTGTTGACCAAATTTTGTTAGCCATTTCCGCCTGACAAGGCTGGCACGGGCGCCGGCCTTCTCTCCGGGTGGCCACCTCCAAAAGCTGCGCCGGGAGAGAGGGGGCCAGCCCTGCGGAGATCTGCCTAGAACTTGAAGTTCGGAAAAACAAGGAGAGATTGAACCGGCTCCCTCCCTTCTTTACAGACACACACGCACCGTCAGGCCGCCGCCACTTCCTGCCTTTGTTTTTCTTCCTCCAAACATTTTTGGCCTCGCGCATTAGCCGCCGGGGAGCTCCGGATGGACGATTAAAGGAAATACACGCCGAAGAGTGTTTTCTGAAGATGGCCCCGCGCTGTGGAGCTCTTGAGAAACGGCAGCTTATGGGAAAACAGTCGCCAGGGCCAATGTCACAACCTTGCCCGCCGCGGTCTCTTCAAGAATTGGAACTCGGACTTGGCTTTCCGGGGTGGCCTTATTCCCATTCGGTTCTTCCCCAGAGCCCGGCTCCGCTTGGCTGCTGGGCCTCCTGCAAAGCCGAAGATTCAGTTAGGCTCATAGGAAAGTCAAAACCAAGGTTCTGCAGTTCTCTCTCCCGTTCTTCCCCAAGATTTGGTCGGAACCTCAGAGCGGCGCAGACCCCTTACCCCTGCCGCCTGCATAGAAGAACATTCACACTACCTGTGCGTATTCCGCGCAAGTGGGGCGGAAGCGGTCAAAGCTGGGAACGTTGCGCAGCCTTGGGATCTGAGCACCCGCTTCTTGTTCCTGCTGGGGAACTAAAAGCATTCTGCAGCTCCGGGGCGTTTTCCCTTCTGCTGGCATCAAAAGCCTCTTCCCTCATTCATCTTCACGGCAGCGCCCCCACACGCCCCCTTCCAGGTTGCAAGTCCCTCTGGGCACCCGGCTTCGGTACAGCTTGCCCAATTGCCCTGCCAACCACTCCGGAAGCTCCTTCCTCTGTCCCCATGCTTTCCTCGGGAATTCTCCTTGTCTCCTTGCAGACACCCTTAGGATCCAGACAAGCAGGCACCCACTCAGCTTGGCCCTGGAGGACATAGAAGGCAACGGTTATGCAGAGCACGCACAGACCCATACCCACCTTTCTGCAAGAACTCCTTCCCCCTGGCACCAGGGAAACCGATCTAATTAAGAGAGGGGCTGTATTCTGCCTGGGGAGGTAGCTTGGCGTCCCCCAGCTGGTGGGCCACCGTGGCCCCACTGCTCAGACACAAGCTGAAGTTGACTGCCAAAACTGCTATAAAACCGCAGGTCTGTCTAGAACTGTTTTCGGTTCTCCTAGACGCCCCCGGGTTCAATTATGGTCTTAAAAGCCCTAATACAAGTGCAAGAATTTGTTTGCCTTCACCCAGGGGCGGGGCGAGCCCTGCAATGGTGGCGCCTTTGTTATGGCAAAGTCACTGAAACCCTTCATGCATTCCTTTTGTTCAAGGGTAGGGGTGGTGAGGACTGGGTGGGCTTCTGGGAGAGAGTTTGGAAGAGTCAAAATCAAGGCAGAAAGATAAGAAACTACTCAAATACTGCTGTATGAAACCTCTCTCTCTCTCTCTCTCTTTCATATTCTGTCTCCAAGAGCAGATACTGTATAGAGAAATAAATATTTTGCCTTGTTGATCACTGCTGGAAATAGAAGTTTTTTCACTGCAGGACAATCCCATAATTGTGATTCCCAGCTTTAGGAGGTCTCAAGCTACCCTTCCTCAATAACCTTCCCTCCCACTGGACCTTCTTATTCACACTGCTGCTGCCCTCTATGCAAGCCACAGTGGACAAATATGTCAAGCTGAAGATACACGAATAATTTCAAGTTTAGCTCTCAGGGATTCAAGGGGCATGAAAGTTCTTGCAGCAAATCCTGAATAAAGAGTTCATTAAACCATTGTGTCTGAGTAGCTTGATTTGTAATAAGCAACCCTTGTGTGTGTGTGGGGGGGGGGCATATAAACATTAATGCTAATAAATTAGTTTACTCCACTACAGAGTAATTACTTGATATTATTGATATTTACAGGGTATTCAAATGCAGTGGTGGGTCATTATTTGGAGAAAAGACATAATGAGAATATTTTTTCCAGTGCAATACATGATTAAATTTGTTATTGAGTCGGTTACAGTCAGCTCAGCAATAAATACATTAATCGATGTTGACACTTAAATACCAAAGACCTTAGAGTTTATACTCTAAATCTCTCCACATATATAAAGATCTTTGGCTATTTCATAGATGCAGAAGGGAAAAGGTTTTCATTTTTGATTTTTGGACTTCTTTCTCTGACACCCCCACTCCTTCCTAGAGTTGTGGGGAGGCCTCAGGTCTGGGTCCCCTTCCTATTCCTGGCCCTACCTGTCTGCTCTGTGCCCTCTCCCTTCTTTCATTTCCCCCCAAATATTATTCCTTTAATCCTGCAGAATGATAAACATTATTTTGCCTATTTAATTTCCCAATTTCCTTCTCCCAAGAAAGGTATGTTCAAACCAGCAACTATGGCCTCTGCTTTTATCTTTAGAGCAAACCTAACCGTTTTAAGGCATCCTTATTGCCCAAGGTGCAGGGAGTTGGAAAGCATCTCTCTCTCTCTCTCTCTCTCTCTCTCTCTCTCTCTCTCTGTGTGTGTGTGTGTGTGTGTGTGTGTGTCTTTCTCTCTCTCTCTGGTATTGTGCTCCTTCTCTGGAATGAGTAGCCGAAAGACACAGAGCTTTCTGAGTTTCTGCCTTGCACATCTCTCACTTTCATTCTTAGGATTTGCAAGGGGGAAAAAAAGAGGCAAGTCACCCCTTTCTTGGTCAGGACTCCTTGGCTATCACTCCCTCCTTGCTGGCCCCCCTTTTCCCTCACAGCCCCATAGCTCAGCAAGCATTCTGGCAGGGTCCCCCAAAGGTGCAGCATACCCAGGGGAAGGCTCCTCGGATGTCAGCGCCTCTAAAACAGCCCAAGGCTTGCCTCAATTGCATGGTTTCCCGATTCCTCAGCTCCAGAAGACCAGGCAGGCATGCGGACCGGAGAGCAGAGGCGCAGCCCCAGAGCGTCTGGCTCTGCCGAGTCACTGGAACCCAGGCAGGCTGCTAGGAGAAGGGGGTTTCTCCAAGGACAGCGGGTGGGGTGAAGAGACAGGCGGGGAAGATTAAGGGAAAGGTGGATCCCGGGTGAGACGAAGGACCTTCCGGACCCCGCGAATCATTGACAAACCGCGGGGGAAGCCGCCTTGGTTCTTGGCGGTTTAGGGACGGAAGGCACTAAAGCGCTTCGGAAGTGACCGTGAATGCGAGCGTGTAATCAAGTCACCGTGCAAATCAGACAAGCCTCGAGGCGGGCACATCCACGGCTGCGAACCCTGGCCCCAAAAGGGGTCTGGCTAGCTTCTTAGGCTGAGGTGCTTCCCAGAGCAAGCCTGTGGGAGGGGGGCTGAGAAGAAGGGGGTGAGAACGTGAGTCTCCAGAAGAACACACTCTGAGACCACGGGCCACACAGCTTCGGGCTTCCACCTGGTCACCCCCAACCCAGAGCATCCTTCACCCACCCGGGGAGTGGGGGTGGGGATGTCGGGAGTTCAGATCTCTCACCGCCCAGGGCGCACTCGAGGGCCAGGATCATGCAGCTGAGCAAAAGCGAGCTGCACTGGGGCGCACCCCAGCCTCACCGCGCGCCGGGAGGCCCCCCAGCCAACATGAGTTACACCGGCGATTACGTGCTTTCGGTGAGAACACCGAGTGACGATCTGTTGCTTCCCCTGAGGTGGCTACAAAGAAAGGAAGCCGAGGAGGGAGGGGAGGGGAAAAAAAGGAAAGGGGGGAAAAAGGCCCGGACTAGCTCGCAGCTTGTCAATTTCAACATCGGGTCACATGACCAGCACCTCCCTGCTAAGGATGGGGATAGATTTCCACGTCAGCTTACGTCTCCAAATTTCTACTTCACGGATCCGCTTCAAAGAGGCAGCTGCAGTGGAGAATCATGTTAAGCTCGGCTACTGCGGAGAGCCCAAGGTAGCCCAATGATGGATTTTGATGAGCGTGGTCCCTGCTCCTCTAACATGTATTTGCCAAGTTGTACTTACTACGTCTCGGGTCCAGATTTCTCCAGCCTCCCTTCTTTTCTGCCCCAGACCCCGTCTTCGCGCCCAATGACATACTCCTACTCCTCCAACCTGCCCCAGGTCCAACCCGTGCGCGAAGTGACCTTCAGAGAGTACGCCATTGAGCCCGCCACTAAATGGCACCCCCGCGGCAATCTGGCCCACTGCTACTCCGCAGAGGAGCTCGTGCACAGAGACTGCCTGCAGGCGCCCAGTGCGGCCGGCGTGCCTGGCGACGTGCTGGCCAAGAGCTCGGCCAACGTCTACCACCACCCCACCCCCGCCGTCTCGTCCAATTTCTATAGCACGGTGGGCAGGAACGGCGTCCTGCCACAGGCTTTCGACCAGTTTTTTGAGACGGCCTACGGCACCCCGGAAAACCTCGCCGCTTCTGACTACCCTGGGGACAAGAGCGCCGAAAAGGGGCCCCCAGCGGCAACGGCGACCTCCGCGGCGGCGGCGGCGGCGGCCACCGGCGCGCCGGCAACTTCAAGTTCGGACAGCGGCGGCGGCTGCCGGGAGGCGGCGGCGGCGGCGGAGGAGAAGGAACGGCGGCGGCGCCCCGAGAGCAGCAGCAGCCCCGAGTCGTCTTCCGGCCACACTGAGGACAAGGCCGGCGGCTCCAGTACGTATAAAGGCAGTGTGCCCCGCGCTTTATGAAAGGGGAGTTGGAAATCTAGCGCAGCACCGCTGTTAAATTTTTATATGCTGTTTTATAAGCATATAAGGTTTATGAAGGGCCTTTAGGTTTCCCCCAACAAAACTTTGTTATAAAAGGCGGGATCACGTGGCGAGTGCTGAAATTGGCCGTGAAATACCCACCGGCCAAAGCATGCCTGCAAAAAAAAAAAAAAAAAACAACTCCCCTTTTCCCTTTTTTTCCTTTCCCAGCTCCCAAACTCGGCAGCTCGATCCCGCTCGGGGCCAGCTCCAGGCTGGGGAGCCGGAGGTGGGCGCCTGTAAATTCCCCCTGCAAGGGCTTCAGGAGCCTTTGATAGCGAGGTAATCCGGAGATTTTTATAAAAGCCATGTGTTGCGCCGGGACTCTGGTCCCGGCTGGGATTCAAAGGCATCGCTTTTTAATGATGGCGCTAGGAGAGCGTTTAACAGATAAAGTGGCCCGCTTAGCTCGAGCAATATATTAAAGAAACAAATTAACCCAAAGTTGGCCTTTTTGTCCAAAGGAAGCCATTTTCCTCTGGCGCTGTGGCAATTACGTGCCGTCTTCTGTCCAACTGCATGTTATTCACAATTGTTATTAAATCTGTCAAAAGTGAATTTTGGGTTTTTTTTTGTCTCATGGGTTTTTTGTTGTTGTTGTTTTAAGGGGGGGGGAGCAAATTGAGCCTGCCTGAAGCTTCGGAAAGCCTCTATTGCATCCACCCTACCTAAAATAGCATCCCTGCAGCCCCTGAAAGCCCCCTGGCTGTGTGGTGGTGGTACTTAACTGAAGACCAAGGATAGGGGGCCTTCCGCTGCCACCTCCCACCTCGAAGGAACTGGGAGACTGGTGGAGGCGGCAGAAGGTTGTGGCCAGGACTCAGGCTGACAAAGACCGGGCAGCCGCCCCAGATGTTAACGATAGAGGAATCGTGGCCGCAACAGGGAAAGACTGGGGCCCCGGCCGCCTTTACTACCTCGGGAACAGGCGGTCCAGGTGCTGAAGGTGAAATGTCCGCAGGCGGCTGTTTGTTTAGTCTGGCGGGGCAAGAAGCAGCCAGCAACCCCCACTCGGCTGCTTTCAAAGCGGCTTCAGCAGAGCAAACTCGCCTGTTGCTGTGAGGAGCCCTCCTTTCTGCTCAGGGGGCAGCAGGAGCACCTTCCCGGGGGGCCTATCTAGGGAGCTGCCTTTTATCTGCGGCTGAGCCTCCCATTGCAGCTTGTCCCCTGCCAGCAGTAGGAACTTGAGGCCAGGGCCTGGAGAGACCTTAAGGGGACTTAGGCTGAGACTCCAGATCCTGTGGTGAGCCCCTTTCCTCAATTCGGGGCTCTGGTGAGGGGGGATTGCAGGCACTGTGCCTGACTCACCCCCTGCCTTTCTCCCTCCATAGGTGGCCAACGAACCCGCAAAAAGCGATGCCCCTATACCAAGTACCAGATAAGAGAGCTGGAGCGAGAGTTCTTCTTCAGCGTCTACATCAACAAAGAGAAGCGCCTGCAACTGTCCCGAATGCTCAACCTCACCGACCGTCAAGTCAAAATCTGGTTTCAAAACAGAAGAATGAAGGAAAAAAAAATTAACAGAGACCGTTTACAGTACTACTCAGCTAACCCACTCCTCTAAGGCTCCAGCCTTCTGGAAATGGGTGGGGGGGCTTCATACATATGAGATCATATGCAGATTTTGCCCTTGACAAGGTCAAGCCACACAGTGACTTTTGAAAAAAAAGGAGGTGTACAAGAGAGGGGAAGAAGCTGCACCAAGATAGCTCAACAGGAGGGGGCCTGGGATTCTCTTGGTTAAGATCTCAATGGTTAAGTTTCCTAATAATAATTGGATTCTGGGAGTTGTGCATTCACTAGAATGAATGGTTTGGGACCCCTGGTGGTTCATTCTTGGAGCCTGTAGAGCCTGAGGCTGGGTGTGGTCTCCCCTGGGGGACTAGGCCTCCTGACAGGGCCCCTGGAGACCAACGCCTCCCAGGACCCTCCACACAGAGCCTGCCCTACCCTAGGACTCCTAAGTCAAGAAGCTGTGTGCCCTCCAAGCCCAGTTCAGCTTGAGGACACAGGGCAAGGAAAGGGGAGGATTCCTAGATGCCCAGAATGAGGCTGCTTTCCAAAACCAATGTGAAAGTCAGTTGAACTAAGAAGTAGCTATGAGGTGGAAGAAGGCTGAAAATCCTTGAGGGAAAAGAAATCTACTGTCCAGGTGGTGCTGGTGTCTTTCTATCCCTCCTAGCTACTCACCATGCTGTTCCAAGCCTAAGCTCCTAGCAGTCACCTCCTGCAGCCCACCTGGATTTTCTTCCTGCCAAACAGGGTTCTTCTTCCCAGCCTGCTGCTCAGGCCCAAAGCCTGGTTGCAGAGTGGACTATTCCCTGAGGTGGAAGACATGAAAAAGCAGAGAGGCTGCACCCAGGCCGCTGGCCCCTGAATCTCCACAGGAAATGCCTGTGGAGTGCAGCAGTTTGGCAAAGTCTCCACCACATTTAATGAAGCTTGGACTTGCTCAGTGTGGGGCAGCAGAGCAGCTGGCCTGGCCATCAGGTCCTAGGATATGGCTATGAGGGGCTGGAGTCCCCCATAGTCCCCGTTTTTCTTGCCACTGTCTGCTCTCATTGGCTCAGAACTGAGCTTGGAAGCTTCCGGCGGCCTTCCAAGAGCTGGAGAATGATTTGGAATTATTTTAAATGATAAATATTATATTATATTATATATATATATATTTCCCTGAAGGAACCAAAGCGAATTTTAAAAGATGCAATGTAGAAGGGGTAAAATGAAAATATTTAAAGGCTCTAACTGTTTACAGTGTTCCACGGTTAAACATGCTCACTGCTAAGAATATTTGAATGTACGCTTCATACAGGGATGGTGTTCAAAAGACTTGTAAATAAAGAAACCATAACCTAATTTGTTTGAATACAGTTTTGTTTTGTCATTAGGTGATTCCCTTTGGGATGTTAGAGGGTGGGGAAGGGTATTGAGAATGGTCTTTTTAATCTCTTGCAACATTTGGAAAGTGTTAGGGGATGTTTGGAGGCAGTTCAGCCTGCCAGGACCTGAGGACCTCATCTGAGAAAGCCTCCCTCTGAATCTTTTCTGCCTCCCTACGTTAAGAAGTGTCCAGTGGCTCTGTGTCATGGAAGGGCTGGCCTGTCCTGGATTCTTACCCACTGAATATGTCACAGCATACACAGGCAACAGGGCACGAGGAAAATAAAGACAGTGGAAACCTGAGTATTGGGTCCTGGTGTGACATTCCTCTCCTTGCTTGCTTTTTACTGCCAAATGTCTCCCCTCCCCAACACCCTTTTTACTACTAATAGGACAAGGTTATCAAGCCCCTCAGGGAATGAGGAGGTGACTGAATCAGAAATTTGGTACAATAGAAACCAATCTTAAGAAGCCAAGGTGGTTGATAAACCATGTCCTTGTGGAAAGTGGGCTCCTAGGGGTGGGATCTCAGGCTCTAGAATGTGGTACTTCATCTTCTCAGAGTAACCTCAGCCCTAGAGAAAGCCTTGGGGCCTAAAGAGGCCAATGGGCCTGACCCCAAGTTGCCCTTGCTTACTTCAGGATTGGGAGGCCTGAGTAGAACCCCTCTGGGATGCCCTTTTGATCCCCTTCAACAAGAAGGGAATCAGTCTGGGTACCAGAGCAGAGCAAATTCTCAAGAACCTCTAAGTGTGCTTTCTCCCCAGCTCCTAGATGAGGCAGTCTTTTCTTTGGGAGAAAAGATGCCGGTTTCCTCTTTGTTTGCTGCCTTTGAACTTCTGCCTTAAATTTGGACATCACCCATAACCTTGAGGGGCAGGGACGAAAGGACAGAGCCTTTTGTTGCCCACCCCACCCTCTCTCCAGCCACCCAGACAGGGCCAAAGCAGCAAAGAGGGTCGCATTTGAAGAGAGGCCCCAGACCCTGCTCTGTTTGTTTGTTTGTTTGCCTAACTGGCCCGACAGGGGAAGCCAAGCTGAAAGGCCAGTAGAACAGACCCCTAGATGAATGTCTAGGTTGACAGACACACAGAGAAGAACAAGGGCCCTCCTTGGGGGGCTGGGAGGGGGGCTGGCAGGGAAGCCCGGATTTAGGGAAAGACTTCCTTTGGGATGGTTAAAGATTAACCAAAGTCTCTCAAGTTGCTAGATAGAGTCTAGCCAGGAGAACTGCTCTCGGGCGGGCGGCGGGCGGGCGCGGGTTTGATTTCTGAGCCCTATAAAAGCCCATCCTCTGATGGCTGTGACAATGTGGTCGTAAACCCGTCCGGGGCTGGCCAATTTGCATATTTGGAATGCGCCGCTATAAACCCGGCTGGGGTTTTGCAGCAATTTCTTAGATGTAAAAATGAGATCTCAATAGCAACGGGCTGGGCACATTCTCTCCTTCTGTCCTCTCTTCCTCTCTGCCGGGAGCTGGCTTCCCTCTCCTGGCTAGAGGCTGGAGACTGGAGCTCCGTCTGAGGCTAGTCGCGCAGCCGCCACGAGATGGCGCACTTCCGATCAATGTCAAAGCCGCCGGGGAGCCGGGAACCCCAGCGTGATTCTTGGCCTTTGTTTGCTTCTGATTCTAAGAGCAGCACGGTACATTATTTCACTTGTGCCGCTCCCCTTCGTATTAAAAGGTGTGTGTGTGGGGGGATCACGCATAAGAAGTAGTTGGTGTAATCTAGAGCAACGTGCCTTCCCTAGGCCTCGCCGGCGTCGTGGCGCGGAAGAAGCCACTTGGCAGTGATTTCGGAAATGTGTCAAGGTAAGAGGACACAAGTTTAGCACTTTCACTATTGTATGGGTGGGAGTGAGAAGGTGGCCATTGTCTAAGCAGGGGCCGGGAACCTAACCGGGTTTGTGGGGTGACGCAGGAGACGTTCGTCCCACCACCCCCACTTCTCCCATCGCTCCCTAAGGTTGGAAAGCAAAAGGAGGCCTAAGTGAGAAAAGTTGTTGATTTTAGCTCCGAGCGCCAGGATTTCACCCAAGGAGGTCTTTTGATTTGGTGGAAATACTCCAAATAGGATGAGCGAGGGTGGGAGGTATCCAAGCTAAAGGGTTCCAGCCCCGCTGAGATAGGGAGCTATGAGGCAGGGGAGAAATTGGAGGACTGGGCAAACAGAAAGTTTCTACTCAAAACAATGGGGTGGTCTTCATCGGCAGCTCGCTGGAGCAGTCTTATTCCCTGGGGCAGACCGCCAGAGGCTGTTGGTTTCCTACTAGGTGAGGTCTGAGGTCTGCCTAGCAGACAAGGGAAAACCTTTGTTTCCAAAAAAGGCCAATTCGGTGAAGTTGCATTTGATTCTTAAGACTGCTGGAGAAGTCTTTGTATTGCTTATCTGGAATGTGCTGTTATAAACCTAGCTGGGATTTTGCAGCAATTTCTTAAGAGAGAGGGAGAGAGGGAGAGAGGGAGAGGGGGAGAGAGAGAGAGATCTTTTGAGGATTTTACAAATATGCAAAAACGCATTGGTAAATACCTATCCATTTTCAAAGCGGACTAGAGGATAAAGTCTGAACAAGGGGTCATTCCTTCAGGGCTGTCATAAATGGAATTTTAAATTATCAAAATGCTAACAATTTGGAGTCCAAATTAAAATTCCCTTTTCCTCCTGTATTTAAAATTTTATTTCAATATTTTAACAGTTTTTTGAAAGCATTATTTTCTTTTCCCAAATATGCAGTATGTGAGATTCTACAGGGAATCCTAGAAAAAGTAGATGTTGCCTCTCTACATGTATGTAAATTTTGCTTATTAGAATCACTAGTCTTTGTTGAGAATGGGATCCCCAAAAAAACTATGTCAGAAAAAGGCAGCCATGAAAAAAACAAAAAAACACCCAAACGGTGAGCGGCTCTCTGCACTAGGAGCTATTCCTACAACCTCAGATGGGCCTTTCGTTTCAAGGCAAGGGGTCATTTATTGTGGGCAAAACTAAGAATATTGCAATTTAAGGAGTGTGTGAAAAGGCCTCAACACTCCCCCACACAATGCGGGGAAGAGCTAGCTTGGTGGTTGGATTTAGAATAATTTTAAAGCTTGTTTAAGAATAGATTGCACCTGACCGGTTAAAAAAAGACACATTAAATATCCCTGGAACTGTTGACATTCTTAAAAAAAAAAAAAAAAAAAAAAAAAAGCCAACAGAAAAAGAACGTCATTGTTTTGGGAAATTTTTTAGTTATGCACAAATTCGTGAATTAGAGAAAACACAAAATTTTTGTTAATGCTGAATATGAAAAAACAGCATTCTTTATTTATTTATTTTTTCCTTCTACGGAGCATCAACCCAACCCCACAGCCTGCTGGATAATTCAGAAGCCAGAAAGTATTGAGAATGGCCTCCAGATATAAATTGTTTACTAGCTATCTCAAGCTAGGGAACTCATTATTTTTCCTGTAAAAGAACACAACTTGTTTTTCGTAATTTATTTCTCCTTGTTTGGAAGGGCCTACTCAGGAAGAGGAATCGGCTTCTAGTGAACTGCAAAGTAATTCTCCGCTAACGGGCTTGCATGTTCCACGGGCCTGATGTGTATCTCAGGCTCCGTGGAGGGACCCAGTGTTATCATCAGGTAGAAATGGGCAGTTTTTACTCCTGAATAAAACTTAGGCTCTGGCTGCCGCTGCAGAGGCGGCGGAACCGCAGCGGCACAAGCCTGGTGGAGGCAAGCAGGCACCCGGGGTTTCAGGTCAAAGGCATCCTGAGCAAGAGAAAGAAATTCAGGGAGGAAGGGTGAAAGGTAAGAAGGCAGACGGGCAAGAGGGAGAGACAGTGGACAGAAGGCGACCCATGTGGTAGTTGAATCGCTTTTCTTAATCTCTCCGGAATGGGAAACCTCCGGAAACCAAAGCGATCGATAAACGAAAGGAATATTTTATTGAGGAGGCTAACACCTAGAGAGGTCCAGGAGGCTTGGGGCTGGTCAGGAATACTCGGGGCTCCAGACCAACTCAGATGGCTGAGGAGGCACAAAGTAGCATTTAACTTGAGTTTCTGCTGCGTTGATTCTCTAGCTCGAACCAGCCACAGCAGGTCAGTCCGCGAAGGGAGCGAAGGGAACCAAGGGAGCGCAGCTGCGGGCTCTTCTTTCCTAACTCAACAGTCCCAGTGCGGGTGGGACCCAGGTCCTAGGCTAGAGAGGATCTTCCATACAAGCCTGCACACTTTTCCCTCCCTTTAATCTAAGTTCAAACTCAACATCCGATTGCAGGGGGTTGGGGGAGTCACGCTGGAAGAACTCATACCAACCACCGCAAAGGTCCATGAAGACCCAAGTGTCAACCCCAGGGGCTGTGATGCTGGTGGCAGGCCTTCCCGCTCCTTCACTCTTTAACAGGGGTGGCCTTTTGTAGCAGATGCAGTATGTATGCTAAGCTAACTTTTGTAACCTTGTTGGCACGTGCAGGCTCCTGGATCTCATCCAGCATAGAAACCCATTTGGCGGTCCTACAGGGCCCTGGCCAAAACTAGCCTGAGGGGTGCCTGCAGCAGGGCATCAGGGTGTCTTAGATAGGCATTTTTCAGTGTAAGTCAGATTTGCCTTTTATTTTTCAGGGGGGTCCCTGACACCCTAAAATGTTAAGAAAGACAGGTTTACATCAATGTCTTTCACTTTATTTTTGTAGCTTTCACCATCTCAAACATACTCTCCAATGGCAACGGCCCTTTCCAAATTTGAGCCTGGAAAGTTGCTTTTTACATTGGATCCGGACAGGCAGGACGCTGGGTCCTAATCCTGGCATGCTGGCCTGCTGGGGCTCATTCTCCTCAAAGAGCCTTTCTCACTCTTGCCACCTATACTTGCCACATGACCTTTCCAGAGAGGCACAGGCAGTGCTGAGGAGAAAAGTGTCTTTTTTGGGTAGCCCCCAGTTTTGTAGCATACCCAGGTGGCACTGCTAAACACAATTCCAGTGAGTTTTACCCTCTTATTGAGCAGAGCAGGGACCAGGCAGATCCCAAAAGCCCAACGTAGGGCCCTAGGCTGCAGCGCTGTGAGCTCTTCAGTGCTCAGATTTGCTGGCTACTTAGGCATAGGGGGATGAAAATTTGTCTTGGCCTGGGGTGCAGGAACAACTCTCTCCAAGAGTGGAGAGTTAGCGATGTGTCAGCACAGTGTGGACCCGAGTCTTGATTCCGATTGTGCTAAGCAGCTGCTATAGCTTGAGGACTGAAGCTGGAAAAAAACTGGCTCCCTCAAGCTCTCCTCCTCTCTCATTTTTCTTTGTCCTTCTCTCCTCCATTCCTCTTTATTTTTCTCTCCACTATCGCCTTGTTTTGTATTCTGATACCTAGTCTGTGTAGAGCCGGTCATCACAGGGATGGAGGTAGAAGTGGCTGGAACACTGGATGACCATAGCAGTGGCATGGCCTCTTGGGCACCAATTATAAAGCAGCCACAATGGCAGCTGTTGGATTCTTAGAAACCAGAGCCTGGGCTGTACCTAGCTAGCTCTCTCGTGCACTCTCAGGATTCTCTCAGGATGCCTATCTCCTCAGGTTGAGTTCATCCTGGAAGGAAGCATAACAGACCACCCGAATGTAAAAGTCTTTCCCTGCCACTGGCAGAGAGGTCTGATTGCTCTACTTCCTGGGATCCCCAGGGTCAGTAACTCCAGCTTTAATTGAAGCTGGATGAGTAGCCAGCCTGGGTCATTCTGGAGACCTGTAGCCCACAGGTCAGGGGCAAGGCAGAGACCTCCCCGGTTCCACTGGATCCAGCCGGAAAAGGTCACATTTCCTGAGCCTGGTATGGAGGCCCACACTTGGGGGCTAGCGCCCCAGGCTGGCCATTTCCAATTGGCTAAGAAAGCACCCCTGAGTAGGATCCAGTCAATGTTTGTTGAGCAAAGGGTCTGGCTTGGAACTCTCCTATAAAAGGGTCACAGGCCCAGCTCAGTCGCTGAGGTAATAGATTTCTTCACCCTGGGCCTTGTTAAAATGTGCACACCTTAGGAGGAAGAACTGCCCCAGCCATAGGTTTGGAGAGGATGGAGTAAGAGAGGTGGGGAGAGGCAGAAGCTTAGTGATATCAGCTTTTATTATAGCCTCCAGGAACATAGGAATGCCATGGCCCAAAGGAGAGGAAACAGTGGCAGAGGTGTCTGCTGGGCACATTCCTCCAAGTTTCCCCTTCCAGGTCTCTCCATCCTAGAACAAAAACCCTAGGGCCAAGCTTTCAATTCTCTTAAAGGACCTGAGTATGGGATCTCCTCAGGGTGTTGGTGAGGGTGTCTGGACCTGGCTCTGGCCTCCTGTCTGGTGGGGAAAGTCTTCCAGCCAAGGATGCCAGTCACTTCCCATGCTCACTTACACCAGACCTCCAAGGTTCCCCAACAGGAGATGTATAAAAGGCAAGCCAGGTGAGCACTGAAGAGGAGTAAATCCTGACTGGATGAGCCCACGGGGTAGGACACTGTTGGAGGCTAAAGGATCAGGGATCAGCTATTGCATTTGGGGGAGTATTTGGTGTGAGATGTCAGAAGTATGGCAATAGCTAGCTTCCAGTTTACTCCAGACACTGTGAGGATCCCAGTGGCTTTGGGACCAGGTTTGCTACTTTGGGAAACCAGATTCCAGAGATGGGGCCACTTCCAGGTCCAGAGCTGAATAGGAAGAACGTGAGTCCCCGACAGGGTTCCTATATGTAGTCACAGGGCACCTGGGCCTAGTGGCCATTTCTGCAACAGGGATGGGAGCACCCAAGGCGGGCTGGGGTGCGCACCGTAAACACCCCACTTGTTAACTGCGCAGGGCCCAAGAACACTTCCAACAGACCCCCGCTTAGGGCTCACATCAGAATAGGGGCGGGGCGAGCCTAGGGCCAGGCCCCCCACCAGCCACTTTAGGGCAACCCCCACAGCTCACAGCCTTCGGGCCAAGGTGTCAGGCGTGCATCTCCTGGCCCATCAATACAGATTACATATTTATATCAATCGCGGGCTCTGAGGGCGCCCTCGGAGAGCGGCCCTGCGCCTACGAAATCAAACTGGGAGTGGTCGCGCGGAAACTCTGGCTCAGGATTGGCTGCGGACGCCCGCCGCGGTGCGGGGGGATTGCTAATCGTATTCAGCATGTTTTGCACAAGAAATGTCAGCCAGAAAGGGCTATCTGCTCCCTTCGCCAAATTATCCCACAACAATGTCATGCTCGGAGAGCCCCGCCGCGAACTCTTTTTTGGTGGACTCGCTCATCAGCTCGGGCAGAGGCGAAGCGGGAGGTGGTGGAGGTGGCGCTGGGGGCGGCGGCGGCAGTGGTTACTACGCCCACGGCGGGGTCTACCTGCCGCCTGCCACCGACCTGCCCTACGGGCTGCAGAGCTGCGGGCTCTTCCCCGCACTGGGCGGCAAGCGCAATGAGCCGGCTTCGCCTGGCGGTGGTGGCGGTAGCGGGGCCCTGGGCCCCGGAGCGCACGGCTATGCGCCGGCGCCCATAGACCTGTGGCTAGATGCACCCCGGTCCTGCCGGATGGAGCCGCCTGAGGGGCCGCCGTCGCAGCAGCAGCAGCAGCCACCTCAGCAGCAGCCGCCGCCCCCGCCACAACCACCCCAGGCCCCACCACAGGCCACCTCGTGCTCTTTCGCCCAGAACATCAAAGAAGAGAGCTCCTACTGCCTCTACGACTCGGCGGACAAATGCCCCAAAAGCTCAGCGGCCACCACCGATCTGGCCCCCTTCCCGCGGGGCCCGCCGCCCGACGGCTGCGCCCTAGGAGCCTCCAGTGGAGTGCCAGTGCCCGGCTACTTCCGCCTCTCTCAGGCCTACGGCACGGCCAAGGGCTACGGCAGCAGCGGCAGCGGCGGTGGCGTGCAGCAGCTCGGCGCCAGTCCATTCCCGGCGCAGCCCCCGGGGCGCGGTTTCGACCCGCCACCGGCACTCGCCTCTGGCTCGGCCGATGCCGCCCGGAAGGAGCGAGCCCTCGATTCTCCGCCGCCCGCAACGCTAGTTTGCGGCGGCGGCGGTGGGGGCTCGCAGGGCGACGAGGAGGCGCACGCCTCATCCTCCGCCGCGGAGGAGCTCTCCCCGGCCCCTTCCGAGAGCAGCAAAGCCTCGCCCGAGAAGGACTCCCTGGGTAAGCAGGGCGCGCCAGAGGGCTGCAGTCAGGAGGGTAGACAGGCAGACCCAAGAAAAGGAAGGAGCAGAGAACCAGGAGTCCGCGCAGCAGCCGGCCAGCCTTGGCCCAAGCTGCAAGCAGGCTGACCTTGTGAACTCGCTTTTTAATATTTGGGCGTGGGGATGCAGTAAAAATTCATGTCCAGCTTAGAGGCCCACACCAAGACATTCTCAGCGCTGGCCCCGGCTCACCCTGACTGGAGGCGACGACACCAGCGAGCAGCCCCCCTCCTGTGCATGATCTTCCCTGTGGCCCGGAGCACCCCAACCCCTGGTCCGGGCCCAGCCTGCACGGCGCGGCCCACGCGGGGGGAGGAGGAGGGAGGGAAAGTGGCTCGCCCGCAGATAGTGCGGATGTTTGTAAGGCATCCAAAATAAGCAGCCGCCAGCGCCAATAAATAAGCCCATTAACCGGCGAAGTTCGAGTTTACGATCCCCCATGCCTTTTTCAAAGTTGCAGGAGGGGCGGGAATCCCTGTTGCCAGAGAAGAAAAGACAAATCCGGCCTGGACGCCGGGGCCCAGAGCAGAAAACTAGAGAGGGGCTATGTCATTTCCCCTGGAACTCAGAATCGCCCAGCTGCATACCCCTGGCTCTTGCAGAGATGCAAGGGAGGGCCCTTGACCCTAGAATCAGTTTTTCTTGCCTTCCCCATTGGCCCAATTATGCCCTTCTCCTCTTCATCATGAGCAATGGGGGGGGGGGGGGCTGTAGTAAAACAATCCGCTGCCGGTCCCCCATCAAAGAAAGCAGTCCTTTCCCCCAACCTGGAGGCTTCAGGAAATACTTGTCTGCCATAGAGGAGATGAAAAGAATGGCGTTAAGTTCAAGATGTGCAGCCTGCCCTCCCAGGCCTTTCATTCTACAAATACCCTGGCAGCTTTGTGCTTAAACAGGTGTTTGGGGGAAAAGTGGAAGAAAATGTAAATTTGAGGGGTGGGAGTAGATTGAAGGCCCATTCAATTTGCCATGACTTTTGGAGGAACTGCTTGTTCTCCGCAAGCCAAACAGGGGCATAACCCTTCTCTCTGTGACTTGGGGCATCCCTCTTATGGGAAAGACGTCTGGAATTCACCCCCGCGTGCAGCCCGCGTGGCCTCGACTTAACCTTCCCCTCTGTATTCTCTTAAACGCCAGGCAATTCCAAAGGCGAAAACGCAGCCAACTGGCTCACTGCAAAGAGCGGCCGGAAGAAGCGCTGCCCGTACACCAAGCACCAGACTCTGGAGCTGGAGAAAGAGTTTCTGTTCAACATGTACCTTACTCGAGAGCGGCGCCTAGAGATCAGCCGCAGCGTCCACCTCACGGACAGACAAGTGAAAATCTGGTTTCAGAACCGCAGGATGAAACTGAAGAAAATGAACCGAGAAAATCGGATCCGGGAGCTCACAGCCAACTTTAATTTTTCCTGATGAAGCTCCAAGCGATGCTGGGTTGTTGTTTTTTTTTTTTTTTTTCCGATGCCAGAGCGCCCGTCCCCTCCCTCTGTCTTCAGCCTCTTCCCCAGAACTCGCACCTGTGTCGGAGCCCCATTCTACCCTTCCACACTCGCCATCTCCCGGGCCGTTACATCTGTGCAGGGCTGGTTTGTTCTGACTTTTTGTTTCTTTGTTTGCTTGGTGCTGGTTTACTTGTTTTCAGGGGGAAAAAGCCATATCGCGCTAAATTCTATTGAAATAGATATTGTCCTAAGTGTCAAATCCTGACTGGGCTTGGTTTGCTGTCTAGGGGTCTCAATGCTTGAAATAACCCCTATCCTCCTCCTTCCATCCTTCCAGCTATTTTCCTGCCCACCTCAGACAACCTAGCCAGAAGACCGAGGTCCCACTGTCGGCCCTAAGGTGTCTGGCCTGAGGTCAATGGTGCAAGGAGCCGCCACTGGGTCCACTTGCCTGGAGGGCTGGGCTGTGTTTAATCAGGGGATTCAGGCCCCTGGGTTTCTTTTTTCTTCTTCCTTTCTTCCTTGGCCAAGAGAAGGGCATACAGGCATAGACATGCAGGTTGGCAATAGAGCTTGGCTTTGGCTGATTGAAAAAGCAGAAAGAGAATGATTATTTTTTCCTTCCTCTGTAAGATATCCCAGCTTTAAAAGAAAAAAAAAAGTGACCAAGAGAAGGAAACTTCTCTTTTAGATTGTGTAAGGTCTTGCATTGCCTGACTAAAATGTTTCATTTACCTCTGAATTTCCATTTTCTTCTGGCTGTTGATAATAATGTAGTTTTGTTTATATGTGTGGAATTAGTGGATTTTTTTGTCATTAAAATCGTTACCACTGGTAACACCCGAAAAGCACACCACAATTCTCCCTGTCTTGTGGAGGTTTATTATTATTATTATTATTATTATTATTTTACACTTTTTACATCTTTTTGTGTGTGCATGGCTTTCTGAAATTCACGGAAGCTAGGAGGGCTGAGGCAAGAAGAATAAACTAGAGAAGGGAGACATTGTTTGGATTTCCTTTATACTGTGAAGTTACATGCATAAAAGGGTCAAACCTGTAGGTGCAGAAAAGAGAAAAAACCTATAAATACAAATCTGTATAAATGTCTATTATTATGAAAAATTGCCAATCATGTTTTAAGCAAATGCATTCTATCATTATTATAAATGTTAGTTCTAGCTCTATTTACTTCTAATCTTAAATCAGAATAAATTAATATTGTATTGCTGCTGTGCGTGGAAAAAAGACGATGTTTATGTTCTTATAGAATAAAAGCTGTGGAATGAAGCTTTTTAATTTTACCTCTTTTTTTTTTTTTACTTCTTATCTTCACCTTCCACTTTATTCCATCCACCACTTTTACAACAGGAGTACTAGCCTGAGCCCCCTGCAATTACTTTAGGCATCTATTTAAATATTACCTAGACGGTCGTAATTTGTCTGGGCCCTATAGCCCTGGTGCCGTAAGGTTTGTCGGCTTTTGTTCAGTTTTATGACTTGCTAGTATATCTGGATTGTGGCTGTCTTGGACCAGTGGTTTCAGTTGAGAGGGGAGCTGCATAGGCAGAGGAAGCTAAACAGGATTTCTTTCGGGAGCCCCAGAGAGGCTCGTGGAGGCCAGTTATTTTGCGGGTGCCCAGGTCCCAGATGACCCTTTGCCTAAATCCGGGGGAGCAGGCCTGGTCCGCTGCGCATCTTAGTGATGCGACCGCGGTTAGATGGACCCAGGTCTGGCCGCCCCCTCCCCCAGCAGAGCCTCCCCCACCTGGATGCCCTCGGCAGGGCCACGCATTTCCTGCTCGCCGGAGGTGGGGGGGGGGCGACGTTAAGGGGGAGGGGGCGCGGGAGCGCGCGTCTCGGCGGGCGGGCGGCTAGGGGAGAGAGAGAGGGGGAGAGCGAGCGGTCGAGGGGAGCGAGCGTGGAGGCCTCCGCCAAAGAACCCGGCTCTGTGCTGTCCTCTGGCGCTTTGAGTCGCCCACGGCTGCCGCCGCTCAGCGGCGGTTCTCGAAGCTGCAAGATTTGGGAAACCAGCGCGCGCTCTGCTCTTTCCCAGCTCTCTTCTCGCCTTCTCCCCTCCTTCCTTTTTCCTTTCTCCTTTGCTTTCCCTCGCTCCCTGCCGCTGTCCCTCCCTCCCCCAAGCTTACCTTTTTGGGGACCGGTGGCTTCTCCCTCCATGACGGGTTTGTGGCAGCCCGAGGCATTCGGTGGCAGCGGTGGGCGCAGGTTGCCAAGGGACTGGTCCAGGCATGATCTCAGGGTTCTCTCCTTGGCGGCGGCGGTGGCGGCAGCGGCGGTGGCGGCGGCGGCGGCGGCGGGCGAGGGAGCCCCGCGCGGGCAACACCAGAACTGGTCGGTGATTTAGGTAGTTTCCTGTTGTTGGGATCCACCTTTCTCTCGACAGCACGACACTGCCTTCATTACTTCAGTTGAAATCGTCTCCAGGTACCTGTACGCGCGGGGGCCGGGCCGGGCGGGGCATCAAGGCCCCGGTAGTGCCAGGCCTGCGGTGGCAACCTCGGCTTTCTCAGCGCAGGAGCCTCTCTTCTTCCTTAGCGCTGTGCCAGCCAGCAGGCCTCATCACTCCCCTAACAACACCTGGCCCAGAGCAGGTACCATCAGGTTAGTTGCTCCTTCGCGGATGCCGGGGGCGTGGTAAGAATTCTGGGCCCCGGGCCATTCAAGGTCAGGGGCGCTAGCTTCAATCCTGAGCTGCTCCTACTGCAGGCCCGCGCCTGGCCTGGGACCCCGCCATTCCCTTGCAAGGCTTGAACACACACACACACTCCTATCTGGGATGTGAGCTCCGGAAAGATCCCTTTGCCAGTGGGAGAGCCAGAGAGCCAGGCCGAGATAGGAGGGATAAGGGTGGACAAGGGCTGGTATCCTGGCCTTGTCACTTAACCCTTCCCTCTGAAAACGCTCCCTCTGCTCCCAGGAGCCACCTCTTTTTTCTTCCTTCTTCCTTTGCTCCTTCTTCTTTTATCCTTTTATTTTCTTTGCTCCTTTCCCCCTCTTCCCTTCTCTTTATTTTTCTTTCATCTTCTGTTTCTTTATCTGATTCTCAGTCTTGCTGCCTACTCTCCTTTTAAAATCCTGGAGAAGAAAAGGGCTGGTTTGAGAGAAAGCCAGAGGTCTTATTTTTCTCTGGGCGCTTAAGTAAAGGTCGGAGTCTGAAGAGGAAGGGTTTGCGTGGGACCGCTGTCCAGGACGTGGGTTTGGCCTGATGTGCCTCTGTGCAGACAAGGCCTCGGTTATGATCACGACCGGCTGGCGGCGGCCTTGCGTTCCTTCTCCCTGTCGCTAACTGGCTGTCTGGGAGACCAGATTAGGGGGCACCCGCGGTGTCTTTGTGTGCCCACATCCAGGGCAAGGAGGCGTTCACCACCCTCACCCGGAACACGGGCTGAGGCCCAGCCAGACGTAGTGGAGCCAGACCACTCGGCTCCATCGGGAAGTTCCTTGCTGGCTCTGCCGGGCCTGCAGGTCCCATCTCACTCAGGCTTTGACTGTGATGGGGGAGCTCGTTAGGGCAGAGCTTGACTGTTTGCTTGCCAGGGGCAGGCACCAGGTTCAGAATATATTCGATCTGGCCGCTTTGTACAACTGGGTGCTGGCGAAGAGGGCTCTTTCCAGCACCAGTAGGTTCAAATAGGTGAAAGGAATCCTAAATTCTAGAGTCATCGAGATACAAACTTAAATCCTTGTCTTAAGCTAGGGGCTATGGATGAAAACCAGCTTTGACCATTCTCCCCACCGAAAACTGAAAATAATCCATTCCCCTTTCCTCCAAAACACTCACATAGCCTTCAGACTCAATGCCCACAGAGCTGTACTTCCCTTCCCAGCTCAGCTGAGGCCCAGGGATTGTTTTCATTGCTCCGCTGGCCAACCTGTTATCTGAAAGACCGGCACACCCGGTTCCCTTCAACTTCTCTCTGCTATTTTCCGGACCAGTGTATTGGATTTATTTCAGAGGTTTATTTCAAGGTTTTTGGAAAATTCTCAGCCAGGAAGGGGCAGTTTGTAATCACACCCATTTATTATTTCTTTATGGACATGCAATCCCTTTAATAAAAGCAGAAGCAAAAGTATGAATATTCTGTTTCCAAGCCTCTGGGCTCAAGAGGGCCAATATTTGGTTTTGTGAATCCCCCCCCCCCTTTTAGGCACCAGTATCAGCTGCTTAACACTCAATGCTTGGTGATTATTTAGTAATTCGCCTATTGTGGGATAAGGCTATTTAAAGCAACAGCTTTGTATTTATTTAAAAAATACTAGTAATATAACGTGTCTTCTCTGGGTACAAATGGAAAGGACAACCAAGCATGCTCTTCCATTTACAAACAATTACAAAAAGGGAAGTTTTCCTCCAGAGTTAAAATTTTAAATGGAAAATCTGAGTCCCTGTGGACTGTGGGACATTTAGGACACCTTGGGCTGTGATAGGGGTGGGGATGACGCATAGGAATTTACACGGAAAGGAAAATATTAGGGGGGAGGGGGTTGTAGCGGCCGGGACAGGCCACTTCGCTAGTTCATTGTGTAGGCCACCTTTCTCAGCGCAGCGCGGAGCAGAGGAAGGGGCACACGTTTGGAATCTGCGTGGCTTCCCAGCTTCCCTCCCCAGTATATACTAACAATTGAGGGTCTCAGCCTCTAAGGATAGGGATATGTTTTCATGATGTGGTTTGTTTTTTTTGGGGGGGGGGAGTACTCGAACTTTTGGTGAGAATGAAAGCCAAAAGTTAGAAATAAATGCCTGAGGTCGCCAGCCTTGCTGCCAGCGAAGTGGACTAATGAGAAACACACTTCCAAGCATAGTGTTCACACGTGAATTTAATTACCCCATTTTAGGAGTCGCTACTTTCTGTTTGGAATTGTGATGGGTTTTCCTTTTACCTTTTCTTCCAAAAAAACAATAGAGGCTGCGGCCTTTTCATTTGCTTTCACCCCCCAAGACTCCAAAGGGTGAGAAATAATCTCCCCAATTTGATCAGGTCAAAGGATGAGATTAAAGTCAATGCCCTGTGCCGGATGCCCCGTTTTAATTTCTAGTCCTGGACTTGAGCTGCGGCCGCCTTGCTTTGGGCCTTGTAACTCTGTAACTCTGTAAAGTTACTCGGTTCCGTCGGTAACCGAGGTTGGGCACCGGGTGATGGCCAGAAGGGAGGGAAGAAAGGATCCCTGAAGGGCATTCATACTGGGTGCAGGACCTTTTATTCCAGTGCGGGCTTCCCAGTCCCTGGAGCCTTGGAATCTCTTAGGCGGGACTGCCTTTTAGCAAGCCGAACTCCCCTTCTATTGATGCTGTCTGGCGGTTTTTAACCATCTTTCAGACCTCAGTTTAGGGCCTTGGCGAATAGAGCATAGGACCAGGTCGCTAGCGGCCTCCAGCCAGATGAAGAGGTGCAGAATGCTCTGGGCGAAGGAGTGTGCAGCAGGGTCCTGGGTCAGGGGCCTAGCGCTGCACAACCAGACTACTCTCAAAAGCTTCACCTTGTGGCAATTGGCCGCTCCCTCACTGCCAGCTCCTGGATGAAACAAGTACGAACTTGGGGGGCTGTCCGGGTGCTAGACTTTCTTTTACCGCAGGCTGGGGTGTGGGTGGCAGACCAGATGGTTCCCCCCTAGATAGTCAGTCCCTGCTGGGCGAGCTCTGGCAGGGGCCAGTGTCTACTCTACTTGGGACCCATACTGCGTTGGATTTGACTTTTCGCGTCCGGCCAGGGGAAGACTCCCGAGGACCGCAGGGATTATTTACAGGGAGCTCGCCAACCAAACACAACAGTCTAATTTAACCTTTCCAAGGCCTCGTAAATTTTTACAGCTGGGAGCCACGGCGAGGCAAACGAATCTGTTGGTCGTTCCCGACTTCCCAACCAGTCTGTGTGGCTTCTGAAACAATAACTCCTTATGAAATATCATAAATATAGATTTAAATACAGTAGAGCGAGAATGCGATTTGGCTGCTTTTTTATGGCTTCAATTATTGTCTAATTTTATGTGAGGGGTTCCTCTGGCCGTAGTCGCATGCGGGACCCGCGCCTTCCTGATGGCGTGATTAATTGTGATATAAAATAGTCCGCTTAAGAAGTGTGTGTGTTGGGAGGGGGCAGGGGAGAGAACAGAGGCAAGGCCGGATTTGATCTTTTAATCTTCGTTGGCCACAATTAAAACAAACCCGATCGTGGAGCGGCGTGATCCCTTTGCATAAAAACATATGGCTTTTGCTATAAAAATTATGACTGCAAAACACCGAGCCATTAATAGCGTGCGGAGTGATTTACGCGTTATTGTTCTGCCGGGTGGACACGTGACGCGCGCGGCCAATGGGGGCGCGGGCGCCGGCAACTTATTAGGTGACTGTACTTCCCCCCTGGTGCCACCAAGTTGTTACATGAAATCTGCAGTTTCATAATTTCCGTGGGTCAGGCCCGGCCGACCAGGCGCGGGACACGGCAATGGCCACCACCGGGGCTCTGGGCAACTACTATGTGGACTCGTTCCTGTTGGGCACTGACGCGGCCGACGAGCTGAGTGCTGGCCGCTACGCGCCAGGGGCCCTGGGCCAGCCCCCACGGCAGGCGGCGGCACTGGCCGAGCACCCAGACTTCAGCCCGTGCAGCTTCCAGTCCAAGGCGGCGGTTTTCGGCGCCTCGTGGAACCCGGTGCACGCGGCGGGCGCCAACGCCGTGCCTGCTGCAGTGTATCACCACCACCATCACCACCACCCCTACGTGCACACCCAGGCGCCCGTGGCAGCGGCGGCGCCGGACGGCAGGTACATGCGCTCCTGGCTGGAGCCCACGCCCGGTGCGCTCTCCTTCGCGGGCTTGCCCTCCAGTCGGCCTTATGGCATTAAACCTGAACCGCTGTCGGCCAGAAGGGGTGACTGTCCCACGCTTGACACTCACACTTTGTCCCTGACTGACTATACTTGTGGTTCTCCTCCAGTTGATAGAGAAAAACAATCCAGCGAAGGCGCCTTCTCGGAAAACAATGCTGAGAATGAGAGCGGCGGAGACAAGCCCCCCATCGATCCCAGTAAGTGTCTTCTCCTCCAAATCAGCCGCCGCCTCCACGCCGGCCCCCCGGATCTGCTGGCCCGTCAGCTTTCTTTGAGCCTGCCTTCGTCCTTGCTGGGAACCTCCCCGAGCTGGGACCGGGAACCAGAAGTTGGTGTTTGGGACACCTCAGACGGGGCCCCAAGTCCACAGAACTGTGACGAGCAGGCCTGCAGGGCTGGGGAAAGGGGAGGAGGCTGCTGCAGCGAGAGGGGGCGGGGCGGGCGCTACAAGCCGAGCCAAGACCCGCCACCCCTCTACTAGGCTGCCCAGGCCCAGGACTGAGCTACTTTGGGCCGTTCTTCGAAAGCAGCGCAGCGGAGAGAGTCTTTTGTGCAGCCAGATTGTTCGCGAGCGGCAGCAGCAGCAGCCGGGCAACCTGACCCCGGGACTCAGGGGGACACGGTCGATTCCATCCACTTCTTGCCTTCAGCCGGTGGCGGCGTAAATCCTGCCTAGGATGAGGCTGCGGGAGATCGGGCCGCAAGGGTCCCCTTTCCAGATTATTCAAATAAGCTGGAGACGTGATTAAAGGCGTTGGGGCGCCCTGCCGGCCAGCCTAGCTTTCACGGCCTTCCAGGAAGGTCAAATAAGAAGTGGGAAGAGTGGAGGGAAAGCTGGGGAAGGAAAGACAGAGTCAGAGAGAGTCAGGGGGAGAGAGAGAGAGAGAGAGAGAGAGAGAGGGAGAGGGAGGAGAGAGAGAGAGAGAGAGAGAGAGAAGCATTCTTAAATCTTGCCACACAAACACAGCGTCTCGTTTCCCTCTGCGTGGCCCAAAAGGAGATCGGTTTCTAAATTTCACTCTCTTAGAATGTGCAAAGAATGGGAAAAAGAGGCAGGGACAGAAGGATAGAGGAGAAAGGAGGGCGGTGGAGGGGAGGGGGAGCCTAGGTTTTACTGCGGGCAATTGTAAGTGACCGTCCGTGCGTCTGTCTGCCAGGGTTCCATTGTGTCCGAAGCTGGGCTGCCTTCCCTAATCAATTCAGCAGCGTCCTGCATATCGACCAGACACCCACCTCGTACCCAGCGAGGGTGCTTCTCCTTCTAAACCCAGTGTCTCTCTCCTCCGCAGATAACCCGGCTGCCAACTGGCTTCACGCACGCTCCACGCGGAAGAAGCGCTGCCCTTATACCAAACACCAGACGCTGGAACTGGAGAAAGAGTTTCTGTTCAACATGTACCTCACCAGGGACCGCAGGTACGAGGTGGCCCGACTGCTGAACCTCACCGAGAGGCAGGTCAAGATCTGGTTCCAGAACCGCAGAATGAAAATGAAGAAAATCAACAAGGACAGAGCAAAAGACGAATGATGCCATTTGGGTTATTTAGAAAAGAGATGAGCTAGAGAAAAAAAGACAGGACTGCTTGTCCCCTTGTCCCTGTTCTCCCCCAACCCCAGCCTCCACCACCCTGCACAAAGCGGCTCTAAAACCCCAGGCCTCATCTCCCCCCTGGCAAACCCTGCTCAGGCTGGCTCCTAGGCCTGCAGCTTTGATGGAGGAGGTATTGTAAGCTTTCCATTTTCTATAAGACAAAGGGGGGGGGGTGTGCATTAGCGCTGATGGCTGTGTGTGCTAGCTTGTATATATTTAAAAAAATCTACCTGTTCCTGACTTAAAACAAAAGGAAAAACTACCTTTTTATAATGCACAACTGTTGACGCGGGCTGTATAGTTTTTAGTCTGTGTAGTTAATTTAATTTGCTCTTTGTGCGGCAGATCGCTCTGCCTAGATACTTGAACACTGTGTTTTATTGTGGTAATTATGTTTTGTGACTCAAACTTCTGTGCTGGGTGATGCACCCGTTGTGATTGTGGAAGCTAGAATTCAATTTGAACTCAGGTTGTTTATGAGGGGGAAAAACAATTGCATAGAGTATAGCTCTGTAGTGGAATACGTCTTCTGTATAACTAGGCTGTTAACCTATGATTGTAAACTAGCTGTAAGGATTTCCCAGTGAAATAAAAATTTTAAAATGGGGGGAGGTTCTTCAGGATTGATGGTTTCTCTACTTAAGAAATGCAGGCATTTTAGTCTCTACATATGCTTTATAGTCTTATCTTGTTCATGTACATATAATCTATATATTAAAGAAAAAGTTCATAATCAGACAAGCTTGAATATTGTTTTTGCACCAGAGGAACAGTGAGGAAATTCGGAGCTATACATATGTGCAGAAGGTTACTACCTATGGTTTATGCTTCATTTTAATTGGGGGAAAATGCTTATTGTAATTGAATTAATTTTATTGATAATAAATTATACACCACAAAACCGCCATTGGGCTACTGAACATTTGTATTCTTGAATAATCTGGGTTTTCCATCGGGCTGAACATACACTGTATATTTTGCAATAGTTACCTCAAGGCCTACTGACCAAATTATTGTGTTGAGATATTTAACTTTTTGCCAAATAAAATATATCGATTCTTTTCTATTTTTTTTTTTTTTTTTTTTTTTTTTTTTGCGGGTCTGCTTTTTGCACCTTCTCCGCCGTCGGGAAGTCTGGGCAGAGTCTCTGACTGGAGGCCAGACTAGGGGTGTCGGGGAGGGAGATCCCTAATTTTGCGTCTAGCCTGCGTTGGAAGCTGAGACCTGCCAGTCACGGCGGGGCCTAAGCTTTCCCAACGTAGCCAACTGCCAGGCGGCACAAGCAGCGGAGGAAGACTGACTGGAAAAACACGAGGCCTGGACTCACGACCTTGTGTCTATTCACTGGACCGCAGGGAACCTCGGACGAGATGGGCTGGGGCCTGGGTATCTCTGACCAGTACTGGTCAGTACCGGTGGAAAGACCACTTGTTCATCCTGGTGCCCCAACAAATTTCCCAAACTCGGGTCCACAGCCGCCTGCGGCCTTTCCTAGCAAGGTGGGAGGAGTGAGAAGCGCAGGACCCACAGGGCCCGCCTCCTGAGGAGGCTCTGAGGAGGGAATCGCAAACCTCACCCGCCATCGTGGCTGCCCGCTCACGCAGCTGGGGACTTGCACGGGATTCAAGGCCTGCGCTCTCTCCCCACTACGTCCTGGAAGCCAGGCCCGGGAGAATCTGCATCCTGCCCCACAACCCCCTCCCGAGAGCACAAGTCCTGGCAGAGGCAGGGCCCAGGCAACCGAGGAGCCCCGAAGCGCCATAAAAGAAAATGAGGGCTGTTACCGTTTATGGGGTGTAAAGGGCTGCGGAGGGAATGGCCACAACTTCGGAGGCCCGAGCGCTTTCCAGATGTGGCCGGAGGGTTCATCCTCGCTCCCCTCTTTTCTTCTCTCGCCCTGCCCCCCACCCTCCGTGACTCCTGCAAAGTTGACCGTGTTCGGAAGCGTGAAAGAGGAACCAGGCGCGAGTGGATGGAGTGTCCCCTCACCCCCACCCCCACCCCCATCCCGCCGCCAAGTTGGGACGCACTCTGTTGTTGTAGACAGAAGGAACTTCAAAGAATGGGCAGTGAGGGTGCGCCATAAAGACCGGGTCTGCGAACTGTCTGGAATTCGGTCCTTAATGAGTTTACAACTGTCCAGCCCCAATTAGGATATTCCACCAAAGCCCTTTCATTTGTTTGCTCTGTCTGCCGCCGATAAAGCGGTTGCGGAAACAGCTCTCTTTTATGGGCATTACCCGCTCCGCGGCCTAGATTCCAGGCCCCACGCGCCACCCCTCCCCCCGCCCGGGACTGGGTCCTCGCCCCGCCCTTGGGAGTGAGGCATTTTGTGGACCGCAGCCGCGGTTACCGAAGTTCAGGCTGGCCCGGGCTTCGGGGGCTGCAGTGCCAAGGTAAGGCCAGGAGATGGCAGTGTGGCTCCACCAAAGAGGTGCTTGAGCCGCCATCTCCGGCCACCGCGACCCTGGGAAGCTCCTAAGATGTCGACTTGACGCGAGCCTTTCTAGAATGGGAGCCCCAGATTTAAGTGGACAACAGTCATATATTATTGGTGCTACTCATGCCAGGCTGGAAGCCTTCCTGGGAAGCATGCATGCGGTGGGTGCTTGCCTGACCCTCACCGCCCGCGCCTCCTAGGCCCCATCCCAAGGGCACAGCGCTTTGGGGCTGCAGCTCCAGGCGCGGGTAGACTCCAGGGGTCACCGCCCTCAACCCAGCACAGGCTTCGGGGCAGCGAGACGCGCGGGGAACCTGGCTCATCGGCAGATGGACACAAGGACCAACGTCTACAGCCCTCGGACCTGATGAACCCACAGAGGGAAAGCAGAGGGCGCACACCGTGACCACGGGTTCCCTGGCGGCCTCGGAGGCACCGGAAACCTGCGCGGTGGTTCAGGGCCGGGTTCAGGACCCAGAAAGCCAGCACCGGAGAGAGCCAAGACCCCGGGACTCGGCCGGTTTGAATACGTGACAATAAAATTAGGCGGGTGAAAATTGGGCGTGAAGCCATCATTGGTGAATGTCTAGAGTAGATTAGCCAGGAGTTGCTTGGGAAGAGGAATCTTTTGGAACTGACCAGGAACTATTTGGTTGTTCTAAAATAAATGTGATGTTTAAAATAACAATTATAATATTATCCAAGCTCCAGAATTGGCGCGCGCGCACGTCGTGGAAACATCCTTTACTTTGGCTGCGGTATTTCCTTGACTTTAGGTGCAGAGATTACTCTGGCGACCCTGCTGAGCAGGCCAAAAGGAAGGGACCCCAATCCATGCTCAGTCTATCCCTATGCTAGGTGGGGAACATGCTTCGAAGCCTCTGCAAAGGCCACCCATAGCCCGTACTGGAGGATCAGCCACGGGTGTAGAATGGTTTCGGAGGGAAAACACAAAAGCAAACCGAATCCTTCGAAGCACCCCGGAGCCTTGTGAACACGCCGCGCGGTGCATTTATTTGGGATTGTAATAGTCTCTGCCAAGCCCACAAAATGTTTACGACCTGCATCTCCTCGCTGAACATGCTGTAAAACTGGGGGCTAGGTTTTGGCTGACATCTCTCCTGGGGGTTTGCCTCACTCGCTTTTTCTCTTTCTCCTTTTTTCCTATCTATATATACATGTTAGTATTAGAGGTTACATCTTCATTATATTTCTGTATAAAATGCATACTATTTCACAACATCCGATTGTAAGAAGGGTTTTATAAAGCTTCCCCAGAGTGACCCGTGGCCGTATATTGTGTATTCAAAACTGCAGATAGAAAGCTTGATTTCTGTAACTACAAATAAATGAAGTCACAAATAGGTTGCACCGCTCCTCTCCACTGATCACAAAGGAACCAGGTAAGTGCAGGCCTCCCAGAATCTCTGAGGCCAGCTCCGGCAGAGCCTCCTTGCCCTTGGCCAGCTGGCGGCTGGGAGGCTGTTTGCTCTCTCGGCTGCCTAAGAGCTGCATCCCGCAACCGCTCTTCGCCCAGACCAGATTCTGCACCAGACGGAGCTCATTTGCCCGGGTCGGGAATGGGTCTTTCCCTGTGCCCTGGCCAGGGACCTCTCACTGGATGGGGAACGGAGGCGAGAGGCGTGGGTAGAAACATTTAGAGAAGGAAATCGCTTCCTGACTCTCCTGACTCTCAGGGCCATTCGCTTCAGACAGCTGGGTTTATATATTTAACTGGATTTAAATATCCAGGACTATTGTTAACAAGAAATGGGAAACACTCCGACAGTAGGGGAAAAGCTTGCTTCAAGAGTACAGTGGGAAATTATCTAAAGATAATCAATTTGGCTGATTAGAAACCAGCCTACAAGGGCCTGTTCCAGGCCCGGCATCAACAAGGATTTCCATGATTATAATTACACATAACCCAGTGTATTTGCATCTTTTTAGTCAAATAAGTAGGTAACCAATGGCTCAAGAACTCATGATTAAATAGGTTTTATTGAAAACCTCTTTTTGTTAGGCTGTTTTCGTTTTAAAATCCTTCCACAGGAGGCAGGACAGAGAGAAGCACAGAAAGGAAAGAGAGGTTGAGGTGCCTGCGGGAGTGGCCCAGTTGACTGACTTGGGCCCAGAAGAACCTAAGCCTTTCAGGCAGCATCTGGATCCTCCTTGGCCTAAGGAGAGGAGCAGAGCTCCTGCCAGGATTGCTGGGTTGCAGCTGGGGGGCCAACCTGGGGCAGAGATAGGCATGTGGAGCTTGCATACAGCTCTTTCTTGAGGCGGGTGAGTTTCTTCCTGCACTCCCTGAAATCATTCCCCACCGGGCCTGTAGGATCCCCCTACCTAGGGCAGGTTCTACTTTAAAGGAGGTATCTTTCAGCCATCCCAGCCGCCTGAGTCTAGACAGACTGTTGCGGCAGAGCCAGGTCTTTTTCTTTGCGTCTTTTTGTGTCACCGGAGGAACAATTTATTGGTCTAAAGCTGTCTAATTCTGCTTCTTTGATCTCTTCTTGTTGCTTCGTCTTCCTTTAGCTAACTTAGGTTTTTATCTCTCTCAAAAGGCATTGTTATTTGGAATTTTTTTCTTCCTGTTTTATGCCCTTCATGTCCCATCTGAGATTCTGAGACTGTATCATCCTGACCCACCATAAAGGGCATCCCCGGATATTGTTCCTCTAGGTTCTCTGTACCCCCAGGCAGCCCCGGAGCCCACCTGCCCCCACCTCCCCCGCCCAAGTATGAGCCCTTTACTGGACAGAAGCTGGGGATCCTTGCTGATTTGAACTATCTTACAGCCTTTTGTGCCCCAGGACCCCCTGAGAGGGTGCTGTGAATAAGGGGGCATCCTGGACCCTCTAAAACTGATGAAGAGTGCTTTGTACACAAGGAACCAAACTCTATAATTTAGAGGAGAATTTCCGGAGCAATTCCATTGTGAGGTCGGGTTTATGGTGTGCAATCGAGCTGGGCAGTAAAAGGTGGCCAGGCTTCCAGTGCGGCCTGGGCAGTTTATGAGGCGTTTAGAGGAAGGGTTAGCCCAATCATCCTCTGCAGAACAGTGGGCAGCAGGGCTTCAGCTGATCCAACACCGCAGCAGGGCAGGGAAGGTAGGAACCGTGGGTTGAGGGTCTAAATCAGAAGAAGTAAGACTACTATGCACTCAGCTTTCTGTGAGCTGGGTACTTAGAAAGGTAAAGCCACTGTAGCTGGGTGGTGTGGGGGGAAGGCTCCCGTATTTGTTTTTGTTATCTCCTAAAGAAATGGGGTCCACAATGGGCTGCAGTCCCCAGATGCCTGGATCCCCTTTCCTGTCCAATTCAGGTCTAAAGCATTTATTGCTCCCAGGCATCCAGAACCACAAGGTGGAGGTCCAGGGTTGGCTAGGGTGAAGGCTGCCTGGAAAGGTGTGTGGTGGGGGTCAAGGTTCCTCCAAGCTGAAGGGAATAGAACCAGTTCCCCAGTGAGCCAGGGGGGGAACCAGGGGTTGTGGGAAGGACAAAGGAGTGTTAAGCCATTTATTGGTTTGCCGGAGGCTAGCCAGGTGCTCAGGAGTGAAAGCACAGAGCCTGTAGGGCCCTGGTGTCCAGGAGGAGGGAGGAGAACCTCATGCTAATAAATCTGTTGGCAAATGAGGCTCATTAATAGATAAATATTTCACTGCTTCCTTTAGTGCGGATAAACTGTGCGCTGCCGATTAAGGAAAGGAAGCCGGGAGAGGTTGAGTTTATTCGAACCACATGGTTCCAGTTTGCGGTGGCATTCTCTCTGCAGCTGAAAGCGACGCTGCGCCTGCCCGGTGTGGATCAGAGTTTAAATCTGGCCTGTTGCCCATCGAACATGATAAAGACCTAGGCAGAATAGAACTGCCCATAGCGGAGCCCTGCCTGGGAGGCCATAGGGTGGGCGGGTGCGCAGGGTGCGGAGAACCTCCAGGGACTGGGTCAACACACAGAAGATGGACAGGGAAGATCCACACGGTTGGTCTGGGGTTCGCTCCTAAGTATGAGGAACTGTGCTGCGCGGACACTGCCCAGAGTCCGCAGGCTCAGGCGCCTGAGTTGGCGGCCAGCCGGGTGCTCCCGCGGAGCCTCGGGGTCCTGTTCCACAGGGTGCTCCAGGCTCGCCTGGCACTGGCGGATTCGTTGGTAGAATATTTGAGCCTCTTCCCCTTCCATTCTAGGCGGCCGCGGGTCCCGCGGAGCGAGACCACCTGTGAGGGCTGCTGAGATTGGCGGAGGCGGTCATGTGGGCGGTCACGTGCTGCCGCGAGCTCCGTCCAAAAGAAAATGGGGTTTGGTGTAAATCTGGGGGTGTAATGTTATCATATATCACGCTACCTCGTAAAACCGACACTGAAAGCTGCCGGACAACAAATCACAGGTCAAAATTATGAGTTCTTCGTATTATGTGAACGCGCTTTTTAGCAAATATACGGCGGGGGCTTCTCTGTTCCAAAATGCCGAACCTACTTCTTGCTCCTTTGCGCCCAACTCTCAGAGAAGCGGCTACGGGGCGGGCGCCGGCGCCTTCGCCTCCACGGTACCGGGCTTATACAATGTCAACAGCCCCCTCTATCAGAGCCCCTTCGCATCGGGCTACGGCCTGGGCGCCGACGCCTACGGCAACCTGCCCTGCGCCTCCTACGACCAAAACATCCCCGGGCTCTGCAGTGACCTCGCCAAAGGCGCCTGCGACAAGGCAGACGAGGGCGCGCTGCACGGCCCAGCCGAGGCCAATTTCCGCATCTACCCCTGGATGAGGTCTTCAGGTAGGCGCAGCCACCAGGCGGGGCGGGCGGAAAAGTAGCCGGGAGCTCGGCGCTCGGTAGCGCGGGGCCAGAGAGAGCGGAGCCAGGCGGCTGTGTGCCGGCGGCCCGTGACTCCCGGCGGCGCTGCCTTTCTGGTTTTAATTAGAGCTGAGGCGCCATTGCGTGGAGAGCCCATAGTATTGTATGTAAATGAGGCTCATAAAACTTTTTATGGCCCAATTAATGGATTCAATCCTCGTAAATTTATTTAACTCTCTTTGCCTTGAAATTTTAACATTAAGTTTGTTCGCTATTTTCCCTCTCTCTCTCCTTGTCTCTCTCTCCTCCTCCCTCCCTTTCTTCTTTTTCTCTCCCTCCTATTCCTTTCTGCCTGGCTTTTCTTTCTCAGAGGCCGAAAAGCCAAGTCCTCTGGGGGCCTCTCACCCACCCCTGTGCCAGGGGCCATTTCAAGACGTGGGCCCGGAGGGAACTGGGACAGAGGGTCAGAGTGCCCTAGGAAGGTCTGGAGACAGGGGCGAGGGTTGCTCAGGAGGGTCGCCCACTTGCATTGCAAGGCTGGGGAGCAGAGGGGCTTGCCTTTGAATGGCAAAAGTGCAGCGGCTCCTATTTGCCCACACTCTATATTTACAATTTCCCTTTGTCAGGGGGAACCAGGACATTGTGGAAGCGTAGCCGGCTGGAAAGGTCGGTTGTAAAGTTGGGATTCTGTGCCTTTGCTCCTTACAGAACTGCCTACACGTCTGGCACCACAGTTGGTGCCTTGTGCTAACATTCCCTCTCCTCCCCCTGTTCCGTTCTCGGTTGCGGGGCAGAGCCGGTTTTACGGTCTGGGCAAGGAAGAAGGTGCAGGCTCTGGGATAGTAGCCTGGCTAAAGCACTGTTCTGTCCATGTCCCTGTCTGCTTGTCTGTCCATGTGTCTGCATTTCTACTCTTAGGACCTGACAGGAAGCGAGGTCGCCAAACCTATACGCGCTACCAGACGCTGGAGCTGGAGAAGGAGTTCCACTTCAATCGCTACCTGACGCGGCGGCGCCGCATCGAGATCGCCCACGCGCTCTGCCTCACTGAGCGCCAGATCAAGATCTGGTTCCAGAACCGCCGCATGAAGTGGAAGAAAGAACATAAGGACGAGGGTCCATCCGCCACTGCAGTCCCTGAGGGTGCAGTGCCCTCCGCTGCTGCTACTGCCGCTGTCGCGGACAAGGCCGATGAGGAGGAGGAAGATGAAGAGGAGGACGAAGAGGAGGAGGAATGAAGGGCCACACTGGGGCCCTGGCTGCACTGGACAGTCAGAAAAGCGTCTTTGAGAAACTCACTGGTTTTATTTACAAAAATGGGGAAAATAAAAAGAAAATGTAAAAAATAATAATAAAAATAAAAACACCCTGACTCCAACCCGCACCCCACCCACCCCATCACCCACCCTAGTTCCCAACTTTTCTGGACTGAGTGGCCACTGAGACTAGGTCGCCTTGGGATCCCCTCTGCCTATGAGTATCCCAGTAGATACCCCAAACCCTAGGCCAGCGCTTGGCTCTGGCATGGCCAAAATACTACCTAGCACAGGCCTCCTTGAGAGGCAACCCCCAAACTACCTATGGGCCCAGCCCCAGTGGGCCTCCACTCCCAGGAAGCCCCCTTCAACACTGGCAGACACCCAGCACCACCTCCTATACCCTTAAGAATGGTGATTCTCTCAGTACTACCTACTAGCCCCAAACTACCTATTTTGTGCTGGCTGGCTTGCCTGCTACTTGGTGCCGGCCTCTCCCAGGCCAGGCCCCTGCTTCTCCCAGTGGACTGCCTTTGAGGCATCACTGAGAAGGCATGGGGGTCCAGGGACCAGGGCATTGGCTTCTATTTAAATTGAAAAATAATATATTTCTTCCAAAGCATACTATGTGCTGCAACCTAGAATCCCTCTTTCTCTGGCTTGGGCACCTCAAGTTCAGGCCCATCACCGCCCCCACTTCTGGAGGGAAGCATTCCTGAGATGGCTGCAGACCTCTGGGTTAGCTTCTGCTTCATAGAATTGCAGAGATGCTCCCAGCCTCCCTGTCCTCTTCCTAGCCCTTGTGTCCTACTGTTCAGCCATGTCAAATATGTACACCCTGATTTTTCCTACAATAACAAATACTGTTTATTTGAGGTTTTTTTTTTTTTTTTTCTTTTGTCATTTCTGTAGTCTTGGAGCTCATTTACAAAGGAATGTCTTGACTTGGAAAGGATGTGTTAATGGGGTGACTTTGTAGCATGGTGTGTTGTCTTGAGCTAACTCTGTAGTGGCTGGGAGGCCCGATGCCCTCCCTGATGCCTTTCATCTCCTGTGTTGTCTTGTGTCCCTCTTAGCTCCAGCCTGGGGTTCAGGGAAAATATGCTTCCCAGCCCAGCTACTTGTGTTTTATGTAACAAAATAAAGATGCTTGGTGACAAAGAAACATGGACTACTTTATCCAAAAGGTTGGGGAGAAGAAAAGGTGGCTATAGCTGAAGGGCAAGCCCTGGGTATGCCTGTTTGCCCAGGGTGGCAGTAGGGAAGCAAAAATAGACTATCCTCCTATCCAAATGTTGGGTGTACATGTATTAGTGTATAAGTGTGTCATGTATCTTTTTATGCTTTATGTGTAGATTTGTGTGAGTATGCATGTGCCTATTTTTGCATGTTTGTTTTTCTATACATGCTGTGTATATTCTCATATAATTTCATAATTGTGTATATTTCTGCATCCACAATTGTGTGTATATCTGTGCCCATAATTGTGTGATTATTTCTGTGTCCATAATTGGGTGCATGTGTTTTTGTGTGTCCATAATTGCACATTTTCCGTGTCCATAATTGTATCTCTTTGTAGAGATTTTTGTCTGGTGTCTCTGTGTGCAGAAGATCACTTGAAGACGGAATCTATGACAGATTCATTATGTTCTACCAACCTCCCTAAAAAACTCCACAAATTCCATAAGAGAATTCGAAATCTACCCTCTCCTCTAAGGATGTGGAGCGGACTCAGAAAGGGACATCATCTACCCTACAACTGATCCCCAGATTCTGCACACCCTCTGACCCAGCCCCAGGATAGGAAATAGGATTCAGGGACTCTGCCGCTGCACCCCCACTCTGTCTTTAGAAGAGGCTGAGGGTGCCCTAAGGTTCAACACGCTAGCGGAGGGGTTCGGAGAGAAGCAGGAACCGCAAAATTGGCTACGCAGCCTCGGCAGGGGCATCTCGGTGTTAGGGAAGGGGCGAAAAGCATCCTGAGCTCTGCCAGCGAAGACCTCCATTCTATCTCTTGCCCGATGGGGCCAGCTTCTTAGAGCTCTTTTAATAAAACCCGGCCCAAAATGGTCTGTAAAACCTGCGGCCCCAAGTAGGGGCCGCCTCGGTGGTAAGATGGCGCCGGTGTAAGAGCTGCCTCCTCTTAGTGATGGGGAAAGGGTCATAAATCCGTTGTTGTTTATGAAAATTTACAACTTTGCAATACAACTTTATGAGTTGTTCGGCCCTTCCATTGGCCGCTGTCGGTCATGTGGATAGGAACCGTGAACATGAACTTTTTTATAATTTCCCTTGCGAGAATAGAGCCGCATTCTTTTGCTCCGCTCCATCCTGCCTGCTTCGGAGCTCGGCCTTCCAGTCCCCGCTGGTCCGCGCTTTGTCCCGCGATGGCGAGCAAAGGGAAGCCCCAGCCAGGCCTGGCCGGGCTGCTCGCGCTGGAGGTGGGGCGCGCCCAGGTCCTGGCGCCGCAGCGGCCGCTTTGCAACTCGCAACCTGGCTAATTTCCTGCGTCCTCTGGCACCAGGAAGGAGGACAATTCGTCTCCCGGGCTGCCCAAGCGACAGCTGTCAGAGGGGCAGGAGCTTCTGGCAGCCGCCATCTGAAGGTGAGACATGTGGGAAGGAGACAGGAGCAAAGGTGGTGAGGTGCTGCGCAGGGTGAGAGAGGGAAACCAGCACGGCTTTGAAGGGGAGCAATGCAATACCCACCCTCACCCCATACTCCCCTGTTCACACTCGCCTGCATTACCCACCATAGCCCATTGTGACACACACACATACACACTCATACACACACACACACACACACACACACACACACTCACACCCAACACCACCATCAGCACCACTCCCTCTTTCTCCCTTCCCTGGCTCATCATGTCAGTAAATGCCATCTTCCCATCGTGGCACCTTCTCATCGACCCCATGTTCCTGGCAGCAGTATTTGAGTCTTCTCTCGCCCTTTCTCCACTGACCCCACACTCTGTGTTTCCTGCCAGCTTCTCGGTTTGGATATTTTTGTTTGTTTTTTCATTCATGGCCCAATTGGTTCGATGGAATTCTCCAACAACAGGAGATAGTTCCCAACCCGGGAAGGTGGGAAGAGGTGAGGACAAAGTGAGTTAACCCAGAGGCATCAAAACAGTACTCTCTATTCCATATAAATTGGTTTCAGACAGAAAGGAACTTACTAGTTCAGCCAGAGTTCTCCGCAGATTGTCTGCATCCTTTCCCCGGTTTTGCGATGAGAGGTGTCTGAAGCTCTGAGGGAGGGAATAGGTGGATGGGTGGAATTCTGTGTTGAAGGAGAGGATGGGGTTAATTGTCTGGTTGTTGCTTGGTGGGACATTTCGGTGAAAAAAAACAAAAACAAAATAAACAACAACAACAAAAAACACATTGTGGTGTTAGTGTGGGTGGCAGGAGCCTGCCGCTAAGGTTGAAGGACGGATGCAAACCGAGTCTTGGCAATAACGGGAACCCCCCAACCCACCTGGCATAAGGGTCTGGCGTCCACTAGCCCCACCTCCCACAAGCAGGGAGAGTACTGCGGACCTAGTAGAGTGGAGGTACTGAGGGTCTGCTAGCGGTGGCTTTGCCTAGCGCGATGATACGAACTGCGGCTCAGTTGGTGCGCTTCGGCCCGGATTTGCCCCGGGGAGCTCCCGGGACAGCGACAAGAATCAATCCCGAGGTTCTAGGCATTAATTCTTTTTATTTGTTTTTTTCCTTTGCTGTTTTCTCCGTTTTGAGAAACCTTGGTATGCACTGGATAATTTAAAAAGGAGTGTAGATGTTTGGGACGTTCGCCCGCGCGGTGGGTGCGCTTGGGGCAGATAAAGCGGCGAATTTGCATGGTGGGGCGTCCGGCTGCCTGACTGCGGCTGCCGCGGGCAGATTATTTATTGCGACCGAGTCGGGGGCTCGCTGCTGCCACGCTGTGGCCGTCGCCGGGACCGGCGCCAGCCGCAGCCCGCCTCTTACAGCCTGGCGCGACTGCTCTACCGGCCCCTCAGAGATTCCCCAGAAGGCAGTGGAGAGGGGGAAGAAGGGGGTCTGGGGGCTGTCTCCCAGGGTCTATTTGGCTGGGAAATCTTGCTGCCTCCGCCACCCCTGACAGCCGGACGCCGGAAAAGACTCGGGTCCTCCCTTCACCCTCACCCCAGCACCATGGAGACTGGTCGCACAGGCCGCCTGGCACATCATGGCTGCTTCTGTCCAAACTGCGCGTCCCAAGGCGCCCTGAGGGCGCACGCCGATTGGGGGAACACGCTGGCTTTGGGATTCTGACATTGGAAAGACCACTTGTGGTCCTGAGGCCTGCTGGCCTGGCTGGCCCTGAGGAGAACTGGCTATGGCAAGGAAGGCGGGCTGTGTCTCCAGGAGAGGGCCTGTGAGGGACAGAGGCCGCACCTGTGTGTTTTGGGTTCTGATCCTGGCTAGTGATTTGGCTGAACGGAGGTGGGCCTTCGAGGTCCCCACACTCACACCAGCAGGCCAACCTCCAGGTTGGCGGAAATGGAGGAAGTGGACGGGTAGCCCAGGGCAAGGGTGGACTGTGTGACCCTATTCGCCATCCTGCCCCCGTTGGAGGAAACTGAAAGGTAAGTCTGCTTTCTGTGTAGCAATGAGAGAGAAGAGAAATTCCTGGGACGGACATTCTCACCGTCCCAGGAGAGGCTTTATGGAGGGTCTACGGAGACTGTGAGGTTCCTATTCTTGCTTGAATGGGTCTGTCCAGTGTGCTTGCCTGCCTCCCCCCACCTCCACCCCATATATATATACACACGTGTGTGTCTGGTCAGAGAAATAAATTCGTTGACTGCCAACATAATATGCACTAGCCTTGGGTAACATGTAGATTTTAATTTAATATATTGTCCCTTCTTAGTGCTTACAGAAGCTAGAAATATAACGTTTTCTGACTCTTAGCTGAGAAATCAAATTCTCTTTGAAGGCTGTGACAATTATTAGATCAAGAATATGGGTCAAAGCATAACAATAATAGTAGTAAAAAACTACAAGCTCCAACATTGTGTGGGACATGGAGAAACAAAAGAAAATTGTAAATTTAAATATTTATCAATATTTGCAAAACGATTATTTTCATTTTAAATAATAGCTTTCGTGAAATCACTGCCATCTAATGATTTTAAGAAACAATTACAGAAATATGACATTCTTCAAACTTGACTTTGAGAAAATAATTTCCTTTTTACGTTTTGATTCCTGAGTTTTCATTTTCACCTATTAGATCATTCCCCTGAAGAAATGTGTAGGAAATGACAAATTTTGTCTAAGAATGAACCTTCCTTCTATGCAAAGGTAAAACTTTCTCCAGTGAGTTTGATCAAGACACTGGCACAAGGCTTCCTGGCAACCTTCATGGTGCATGGGCTTTGTGGAAGCTGACCTTAGGCCAGTTCTTTTCTGATTTTTTTTTTCTCCCTTTGGGCAAAGGGAAGTCAAGGAAAAAATCAAAAAGTAAGGAAGGGATTAAGAAAGTCGTTCACAGATTCCTATGGGAGCATTACCACTTGTCACTCCCCCAGCTAAGTCCTGAACCCCATTAGCCTGTGTTGGCCAGAGTTTTATAGATCTGACAAACAGCCTTCTGAAATCAAACCAAATCACGTCAATACTCTTTCTTCAACCTCCACAGAATTGAGGATTTTTAAAGCTAATTCAAGGGATTTTACAAGCCTAACAAACACAGTCTTAAAAATGTCATTGGACCAATATCACATTTTGCAAAATGAGATTGATCCCTGTGCTGTAAAAGGCAACTATCTTGAATGTACACCTCTCAAGCAAGAGAGAGTAGCCCAGAACTGGTTTTTCATGTCCTATCTGGGGACTGCCAGACTTCGGACAGCGGTAAAAGCAATTTAGGATTTCTGGAGCCGTTGAGACAACTATTCTGGGTTCTGGAGCTACTGCTTGTGGCAGCTCCGGGAATAGTCTCAGGAAGGACAGGAAAGAGGGTACAACCCACACAGTGTGAACTACTGGGGCTCCTGAAACCAAGCCCATTAATTATCCCCTGTCCTTAGGCCCCACCGGGCTAGTTCTCTCTGCCCTGCTTGGCCAAGGGCCCTGCATCCCCTCTGCCTCTGGAATGAAGAGGGAGCAGGTCTGCATCTGGATTTGTATCTGTCTCAGCTCTGAGCTGTACAAAGGTGGAGAGTCCCCCATGCTGGGTGAGGGGAGCAAGTCCCACCTCTGGATTCAGATCTCAGTCTCACAGCTGTTCCTCTATGGTCTTTTCTTGTTGAGACAGTGGTTTCTGGTCTCTCCATTGCCGGGGTTCAAAGACAGGATGGGAATGCGCAGTTGCTGGCGGTGCTTGCTTTGAGACCAAGAAGGCAAGGGCCATTGCAGAAGAGCCCATCAGTGCTCAAGACGTGTTGTATGTGGGAGGGAGAGGCAGCAGGAAGAGCTTAAGTTTAGCCTTGCGCTGGGTAGTTGTGAAGTGAGCTTTCAGCCCTTGGCTGCAAGGCCTAGACCTCTGGTAAGAGTGAGAAGGAGAGAATAAGGGGTTGTATCGATTTCTGAGGTACAGGAGTGAAGAGCAGACAGTGAAGGCCTGGCTTCTAAGAGTCCCTTGTCTAGCTCAAGAACCCACATCCACAGTAGGGGAGCGCAGTGGGAGGGGCAACTCTGGGCCGTGCCTGGAGTGCAGGCCAGCAGGGAGCAAAGCCGTCCGTGCTGCCGCCCCTCCTGGCGCGGGGTTGTCAGGTTTCCTGTTTGGAGGAAAACCCCAGCAAAATCCAACCAGGCAAAATGAGGAGGAGGAAAGAGCGAGCCTGGCTGGGCCTTCCCGCGGCCTGGACGCTAGTTCCCCCTACCCGGGTCTGATCTGCACATCCCTGCCCGGGCCGTGCCCGCCGCTGACGTTCGGGGAAAAGGAGCTGGGCCGGCTGGCTGTGCGCGCCCATTAATCTGCCGGGCGGGCGGGCGGGCGGGCTGGGGGCTGTTTGTAACTTTGCTGCCTCGGTCGCCGCGGTCCCCGGGGAGCGGGCTCCGGCGCTCGCTCCCATTGGCCGCCGCCGCGTCAGCTGGTGCGATTTGCTGCTGTCGCTTTTGGCGTTCGGCCATCCAGAAACAAACCAGTTCGATGACTACTAATAGTTATAGCCAGATGTACTAATACACAACAAATCACAGTCCTGCAGAGGGGCGCGCAAATGAGTTCCTATTTTGTGAATCCCACTTTCCCCGGGAGCTTGCCCAGCGGCCAGGACTCCTTCTTGGGCCAGCTGCCCCTCTACCCAGCCGGCTATGACGCGCTGAGGCCCTTCCCGGCCTCGTATGGGGCGTCGAGTCTCCCGGACAAGACATACACCTCACCTTGTTTCTACCAACAGTCCAACTCGGTCCTGGCCTGCAACCGGGCATCCTACGAGTACGGGGCCTCGTGTTTCTATTCTGATAAAGACCTCAGTGGCGCCTCGCCCTCGGGCAGTGGCAAGCAGAGGGGCCCCGGGGACTACCTGCACTTTTCTCCCGAGCAGCAGTACAAACCCGACAGCAGCAGCGTGCAGGGCAAAGCCCTCCATGACGAAGGCACCGACCGGAAGTACACGAGTCCTGTTTACCCTTGGATGCAGCGGATGAACTCCTGCGCTGGTAAGGCTTTTCCCTGCACCCCACCCCACCACCACCACCCAAGACAGTGGAGGGAGAGGGGAAAGGAGACAGGGAAAGGAAGAAGAAAGGAGATAGTGCCAGAGAAAGTAGGAAGAGGAATTAGAGAGAGTGGAGGAAAGAATGAACAAAGTTTCTTTGGCTTTTTAAAAATCGATTTTTAAAAAAGAAGAAAACTATTCCCAATGGAGCCATCAGGCTGATGCAAAGGAAAGCAAAGGCAGGGTCCTTGTAAGGTGATACTTTAGGGGAGGGTGGGGGGAATCACTACCAGGCTGTGTGAAAACCTTGACAGGGGCAAACTTGAGGGAAGGTGGCAACCAGAAAAGGAAGCTGGTTGGGAGAGCCTGCCCCTGCTACACCTTGGCTGCATCCTAGTCGGGTTCCCAAGAAGACTGGGCCTCCTTCGGACATCACTGATAACTTCTTTCACCTCCCAATTCCCTCTCCTTTCTGCCCTTCAGAAACCCAGACAGAGAGGGCCCCCCATTTGACCTCTTCCAGTGTCTCCTCAAAGCCTTTAAGGGCCACATTCTCAGCCTCAGGGTCTCTCTCTCTCCCTAGCTCTCTCTCTCCCCCTCCCTCCCCTCCTCCCCCTTCCACTCAACTGCTCACTCTTAGCCAACTTCTGCCTCCTTCTGAGCCTTACACTGGCTTGGGGGGATCCTCCCACCCTTGGGAACCTTTGGCAGCAGAACAGGCAACCCAACACATCCCTATTGCTAGAAACTCCAGCTCACCTATAATGCCATCTTTTTGGCCCTGGTTTTCAAAGACTCCACCGGGAATTTCTCCCCCCTTGGGGGAAGACAGAACCTAATGTGGATTTTAAAACTTAGAGTTTTGCTGTAAAAGTCACTTTTCCCCAAGTGGATCTCTGTATTTTTCAGATGGGTCATATAATTTGGGAGAATTGCAGAGATTTATCAGGGCTGACCATATTTAACTTTCAAAAAAAATGTTTTGAGTCTTGACATTGGTGGCCTTAGTAGCGTCCTCACAGAGACCAATGTGTGAATTCAGTGTCTATACTGCTCACAGGGTTCCACTCCCACTCACCCCAAGCACACATACTATTCCTCACACATACAAAAATGACTCTGGTGTTCCAAATTAAGAATGTTATTCTATTATTTCCCTTGTAATTGTTTTCTTACAAGCCAAAAATTTCAAAAACTGTAACTTCCCACTCCAAGTCGTTTAAGGTGAAAAACACCTCGCTTGCTATGAAATATCTTCTCCATTCAGCCCGCTTTCATCCCCAGATGTAGTGGGAGAGGCTAGAGAGGAGGCGGGGTGGTTTCCAGCCCAGAGGCCCCTGGCGGGAGGCAGGGAACTGACTGGTTTGGCCGTCGGGACCTCGCTTACCGGCACCCGGCCATTTCTGCCTGCAGGTGCGGTCTACGGGAGCCACGGGCGCCGAGGCCGCCAGACCTACACGCGCTACCAGACGCTGGAGCTGGAGAAGGAGTTCCACTTCAACCGCTACCTGACGCGGCGCCGCCGCATTGAGATCGCCAATGCGCTCTGCCTCACTGAGCGCCAGATCAAGATCTGGTTCCAGAACCGCCGTATGAAGTGGAAAAAGGAAAATAAACTCATCAATTCCACACAGCCCAGCGGGGAGGACTCTGAGGCAAAGGCGGGCGAGTAGATGCCTGGGCAGAGACCAGGCCAGCGCTAGAACCTCCTTCAGCTTTGCCCCTTTGCCCTTGCCTGCTCCCTAAACTTTTCTCCCCGCCTGCTCCCATCCAGGGGCTTCCACAGCTTTGGGGGGTGCCAGGAGCTTTGCAAGCCCTGAGCGTTTATTTATTACAAAAACCAAGAAACCCACACACGGCAAATCCCAGCGGTCGAGCGGGGCGCACTGTACACACACAGGCCTGTTCCCCAAGGCTGCCCAAGACGGCTCCGGGGTCCCAGGGTGCACTCAGAATTCATCTAGGCCCCTGTTAGCATCTCTGTGCTCTCTGAGCTCAGACTGCGGGGTTGCCAGAAAGAAAGAGCCCCAGGCTGTGCCCCGTTTGGTGTTTGGGCGTCTTTGCCGCGGTCCCTCACCATTAAGTCCTGACGGGTATCACCAAGTCATCTCTGGCCACTAGAAAGACAGGGCCTAAAGGCTGGGGCCCCAGTTTTTTGGCGGTTTATGAGGCTGCCCCCAAACAGGAAGAAGCTCCAGGAACAAAAGGGCCACTACAGAGTCCAGTCTCTAAGGCCCGCGCACAACCGTCAGTGGAAAAGCAGCAGCCTCAGTCGTGAACAGCCAACCTGGGAGCCGGTGGAACATTACAGCCCCGGAAGCAACTGGGCTCCCACAGGCTCCCACTCCAGATTCCAGATTCTTCCTCCGACAGCGCTGGCGCCGCCACCAAGCGGCTTTCAGAACACAACAAGGGGGCCCAGGGCCATGGGAGCAAGAAGAGTCCTGGCTTCCAAACGTGCCAGGGGCGCCTCGGATGCTGGGCCTCCAGTGGAGAGACTCCCCTCGCCTCTTAGTTGTATTTGTGATTTACTTTCGTCTTTCAAAGCCCAGAAAAATAACTACGGAGATATTATAACTAGGCACCGCTGCGAAATGATTCCATTAACTTCCTCATTTCATTCCTGGAGATCTAAGCAAGACCCCAATAACTCGACTCGCGGATCCCTAGGCCCCAAGCAGCCTCTGTGGCTGAGGGAAGCGTGGACCCATTCGCTGGGTTCACCGAGAACCCTCCGACTTGGGCCCGGGCTAGCTGGAGGAAGGCAACCCGGTGGTGAAGATTCTCCAGGCTGGATACGTAGGCAAATCAAATAGGAAACTAATGACACGAAAACCATATTTACAAGAAAGAAAAAAATCAACTCTAGTTATAAAAGTGTATGGAATTTGACCTTGCCTCGAAGAAACACTACACAAAAGCTATCTTTAATAGACGCCTGTCACTTAAGAGCGGCAGGGACACTGTCCCTCATGCGCTCGCAAAAACAGAGCCGTAATTGTAGCTGCTGCTGCGGGCAGGATTTATTTCTTCAATTGGCTAAATGGCCTCCTCCCCTTCCCCGAAGGTGATATCTGTATTTCAAAATTCAGAGCTGCCGGCAGGACGGGTGGAACCGACCCCAACCTCGACACAAAAATAAGAGGGGCTGCAAAGCAGGGAAATAAAGTTGTTGTAAATAAATTCCAAGTCACCACCTCCCCCTAATCCTCTGCATCCTCGCCGGGCGCACGATCGGCAGCTGACGGCCTCACAATTGGTACATCCTAATGGAACTGCGAGGGAAATGCAATAATTTTGCCATAATGGGCTGTAACCTCAATTCGACCCCGGCCCTTGCATCCCCGGGTCGGAAGCGGAGCGATGCGCCCTGCCTCCAGCGGGTGGCGCTCGAGTCCGACTGAACGGCGGCAGCTGGTGACGGGCACGCGCCCGAGGCGCGCGCTCCACCCCTCTCGCCTCCACCCAACTCCCCCATTAGTGCGCGAGTTTACCTCTAGAGGTCATCAGGCAGGATTTACGACTGGACAACAAAAGCACGTGATTCGAAGTCGTACCCCATATTTGGGTGCCTACGTAGGAGGGAACCAAGTACATGTCCCAGTCATTTCCATAATTCATCATAAATTGTGCAAGGGTGCTATAGACGCACAAACGACCGCGAGCCACAAATCAAGCACACATATCAAAAAACAAATGAGCTCTTATTTTGTAAACTCATTTTGCGGTCGCTATCCAAATGGCCCGGACTACCAGTTGCATAATTATGGAGATCATAGTTCCGTGAGCGAGCAATTCAGGGACTCGGCGAGCATGCACTCCGGCAGGTACGGCTACGGCTACAATGGCATGGATCTCAGCGTCGGCCGCTCGGGCTCTGGCCACTTTGGCTCCGGGGAGCGCGCCCGCAGCTACGCGGCCGGCGCCAGCGCGGCGCCCGCCGAGCCCAGGTACAGCCAGCCGGCCACGTCCACGCACTCGCCTCCGCCCGACCCGCTGCCCTGCTCCGCCGTGGCCCCCTCTCCAGGCAGCGACAGCCACCACGGCGGGAAAAACTCCCTGGGCAACTCCAGCGGCGCCTCGGCCAACGCCGGCAGCACCCACATCAGCAGCAGAGAGGGGGTTGGCACGGCGTCCGGAGCCGAGGAGGACGCCCCCGCCAGCAGCGAGCAGGCGAGCGCGCAGAGCGAGCCGAGCCCGGCGCCGCCCGCTCAACCCCAGATCTACCCCTGGATGCGCAAGCTGCACATAAGTCATGGTAAAGCCAGCCTTTTTCTAAATCCACGCGTCCGCGGGGGCGCGGCTCCTGGTCCCCCTCTCTCCTTGCCGCTCTCTCTGTGGTTCTTTCCTAGTCTTGCCTTTCCCAGCCCTCCGGAGCTTCTCCCTGCCATTCTTCCCCTGCCTTCATCCTTCTTCCTCCTCTTTTCAGCAGCACACTGTGCTCACAAATAGTAAGGGAATGAGCTGGTGGGCAGGCAAGTTTAAACGTTGAAAGTGAGAGAAAGGGGGGAAAATCCATCTCAAACCCCAGAGCCTCTGAATGCGCTACGGGGTCTGGAGAGCCGAGCAGATAGCAGAGAGGTAGAGGATGGCAGTAGGGGCCGTGAATCGGGCTTGTCAGGGCGGATAATTTATGAGGAGGGCTACCCTGGGAAAACAGCCTTACTAATTACAGCCCCCCAAAAAGGATTGGGGGGGAATAATCGAGGCGAGGGCCGGCAGGATTCTGAAGTTTGGGGGTAAGAGGGAGACAGGAGGAAAAGAAGAAAAAGAAAGCAGGCGCCCCCAGCATACAGGATGGAACAGGAGGCGGCTCGCGGGGCTGGAACTTTAAGGGAGGGTGACCTGGAGGCCACTTAGGCACTCAGAATAGGGCCGTACTTCGGCTGGTTTCCGAGGAGTGGGCAGCCTATGAGGGCTGTGCCCCCCAATCAGGGGTGTCCAGGGCAGGGCCAGAGGGCAGAAAAGGGGCGAGGGAAAGCCCGGCGGTCCTTCGGGACACGGTTCCAGCCTATGATGGGCCGATTGTTCCCAGAGTTCAAATCGTATTGTTTCTCTCTAGAAAGGAAGAGGGAAGGAAATTCGGGAGGGGAGGGTGGACAGGCAGAGAGGGAGGACTTGTTGAGTCTTTTGCCCAGGTTCCCTGCTCAGGACCCTGGCTTGTCAAGCTGGTGGACTTTGGAAGCCAAGGACTGAGGAGTTGGTGGCTAAACCGCTGACTTTTCTGTTGCAGACAACATAGGCGGCCCGGAAGGCAAAAGGGCCCGGACGGCCTACACGCGCTACCAGACTCTGGAGCTGGAGAAGGAGTTCCACTTCAACCGATACCTGACCCGCCGAAGAAGGATTGAAATAGCACATGCTCTTTGCCTCTCCGAGAGACAAATTAAAATCTGGTTCCAAAACCGGAGAATGAAGTGGAAAAAAGATAATAAGCTGAAAAGCATGAGCATGGCGGCGGCGGGAGGGGCCTTCCGCCCCTGAGTATTTGAGCGTTTAAAGTACTGAGCAGTATTAGCGGATCCCGCATAGTGTCAGTACTAAGGTGACTTTCTGAAACTCCCTTGTGTTCCTTCTGTGAAGAAGCCCTGTTCTCGTTGCCCTAATTCATCTTTTAATCATGAGCCTGTTTATTGCCATTATAGCGCCTGTATAAGTAGATCTGCTTTCTGTTCATCTCTTTGTCCTGAATGGCTTTGTCTTGAAAAAAATAGATGTTTTAACTTATTTATATGAAGCAAGCTGTGTTACTTGAAGTAACTATAACAAAAAAAAAGAGGAAAAAAAACACACAAAAAAGTCCCCCTTCGACCTCGTTTAGTGCCAATGTTGTGTGTTGCACTCGAGTTGTTTAACTGTGCATGTGCGTGGAAGTGTTCCTGTCTCAATAGCTCCAAGCTGTTAAAGATATTTTTATTCAAACTACCTATATTCCTGTGTAATTAATGCTGTTGTAGAGGTGACTTGATGAGACACAACTTAACTTGTTCGACGTGTAGTGACTAGTGACTCTGTGACGAAAACTGTGACTCCAAGCGGTGTGTCCCTGCGTGCCTTTGTAGGACCCTTTGCACGAACTCTGGAAGTGGCTCTTATAAGCTCAGCTTCAGTGATGTATGTTTTTGTGAACAAAGTTACAAATATTGTCCAAGTCTGGCTGTTTAAGCAAACTGTGATCAGCTATTTTTTTTTTTTTTTTTGGTATTTGTTTTTAAGGAAAAAATACTGACTGGAAACAAAAAAAATAAACTTTCTATTGTAAGTTCTCTTGGTCTGGTTTGTGCCAAACAGTGAGCGGCTCTTTCTGCTTTTCTGTCTGTCCAGTCCTGGAAGTTGGTGAGCCTGAGGCCACCTGAGCAGCCTGCCTGTGCATGGAGGCCTCAGACCATCCTAACCAGCTACCTCCCTAACTTTGACCCATCAGAAAGTTCAGGGCAGAAAGTGGGAAAAGCAAAGCTGTTCCAAAGTCCACTATGCCCATTTCTGAGGAAAACAAGTTAACTTGCTGGGTACAAAAAAAGAGAAAAAGGGAGAGAAAGAAGGAGAAAAATCCAAGGGCTTTGTTAGCCGCCCTTGGGGCCCACATAGACCCTGCCTCTTTCCTTAGGCCTCCACTTGCTGAAGAGACTGCTATGCCAGGTTATGGACCCCAAACCCCCTGCCCCTAACCCATCCCAGCACCCCTTCCCCACTCCTCACCCTGAACCCAGTTGACTTCTTTTGCTACAATTAATTTGCTACAAATGGAAGGTACTTACCCCATCCTAGCTCCATTGGGAAACTCCTCAGAGCGGCTAAAGCCCAACTAGAGATTTGCACATTTACCGACTGCTTACACTGATGCCGTCTTTCCTTTTAAAAGTTATAAAACAGTAAACTTTATAAGCCCCAGTTCCGGCTATATGACATTTGGGTGCCAAATGAATAGGGTTTTGTCTATGAATTAGATCGTAAAATCATCCATAGCACAGACAGATCGGCTCACTGGCTATAAAACGTCACGTGGGGCCATTAAAGTAAGTTTTATGGTTTTGGGGAGTTGACATCCAACATTATATACCACATAACATATAATCTCACTGACGCTGGACTCCATTTGACTCTTTTGCAGGCTACGTGTGCCTCCTGGTCATTCAAATTGTCAATTTTAGGTCCAGAAGTGTCCAAACTACAACTTCTCAAAACTCTGAAAAATGGCTCCCTCCGAGTTAAGGTAAGGTAAGCTTGCTTCCTGAGCTCTTTCAAGTTTATTTGTGCTCTGAAAACTTTCTCTCTCTCCCTCCCCCCCCCCCTCCTTTCGGAGGTTGCCTCTGAATTCAAAAAGGGACAGCAAAGTTTTCCTCTGCTCAAATTAGCAGAGCCAAGAAACCAGCTTTGCGGAGGCAGCCCAGTGAACAGCGCCTGTGGCCCGGCCGCATCCCCAGGCCTAACTTTAATTGCTGCACAACCGCGGATGTTAATGACTTCCGCTGCTCCTGCCGGCGTGCAAAAAGATGATTTTTGTGTGGGAATAGGCCTGCGTGTGGAGTCTTGGCAGGCCCGTTCCCCATTCCGCGCCTGGCCTGTTCCGGGCTCTTTGGGGGTCGAGGAGCCCTGGGGTGGGGGCTGGGAGACAGTGGGGCGCCGGCTGCGGGCGCCAAGGGCTGCGCTGAGCTCCAGAGTTTGAAAGAAAGGCCCCGGCAGGGCCGAGGCGGACTCTGGCGGGATTCCTTATGGGGCTGTGGCAATATGTCTTCGCGGGCCAGGGTCATTTGGCAGGACTGAATTGAGGCGGCGGCCTTCGGGGCCGGGTTTCAGGCTGGCGCGCGAGAGCAGGAGCGTGTTTGAGGCCCGCGTGGCGCGGGCTGCACCTTCAGGCTGGGCCCCTGGTTGCGAGGCCGAGCCCAGGCTGCTAAAGCCCACTGGACGCTGGGGACCCTAGGTCCCCACCTGGGGGATGGCTCAGCACCCCCTCCCCCGCCCCAGGGACCAGGCCCTGAACCTTGTTTGCCTGCACGTTCTTTTTATTTCTCTGGGACTGTTCTCACCCGCCTGTGAGTCTGAAGCAATAAACTTTATGGCCGGATTTAACTTTAGTCTTTGAATCCCCAGGCTAATTGAAAGGGGTTAAAAACGCTTTCTGTTCTTCCGCCTTGTCCGTTCTCCCGCTCTTCTTTCCGTTTCCTCTCCTTCTTTGTAGAATTAAAACACAGGACCCTCAAAAGGCAAATTAGGCATCCCCCTAGATAACACTGAAGATTAGAGCAATTTACTCCCCCTCAGCATACAGACAAATTCTTTTTTTCCAAACTGTGCCCTAAAGTTTGGGGGGAAATCGAGGTGTCTTCAATGCTCAACTTAAAAGTCCCTAGAGCCATTAGGTTGTTTTTCCTGACACATCATAAAGGGTAGTTTAGGAAAGAAATTGGTAGTTTGTCAGTAGGAGATTTCCGCCTCTCTTTTGTTAGTTGCTCTTTCTGTTTGATCCCAGGAAATTTACATAATCTGTGATTTCCAAAACAGTCTCCAAAATTGCACCAATGGGTGAAGTAAGGTGAAATGAATTTTTCCCGGGTACAATTCCATCTTGGTCCCAGCTACCCCTTCTGGCCCCAGCCCCCTACATTCTTCAATGGCACAACTAAGCCAAGTGACTGGGGACATAGTGGCCTGTCTTGGTGTCTTTTTCTGGGTGGGCACCCAAAAGGGACCTAAAAGATTTCCCCCCAATCCTGTCTGAGGAGTTAAGCCAAATTCTCTAACTGCATTGAGAAATGAAACAAAAAAACAGGATCTGATTTTCTCTCAGGAGCTAGGCAGCTTTCCTGCAAGTGCTTATTGGTAGAGATATTAACTAAATAGTTAAAGAGAAAAATTTTGAGGCATAGATTTGGAATTTTGACAAACTTTATTGCACAGGTCACCTGTACCCAAAGGAAGTCCAACAGTTGTCCCCAAAGTTAGAGATACCAAAAGCAAAACCTTGAAAGTTTGTTTTGTTTTGCAAAATTAGAGCCCTCCTACCTAACTCCTACTTTTCATGAATGGTGGCAAGATGAAGAATTCCTGAAGTCATTTTGTGTAACCCATTAAAGTGATATGGATACTATAGCACTAACATATGTGTCCAAATCTTAAGTGGAGACCGGAATAAGAATTCTATGTAGGGTCTGAGAATTCTGGATCCTTTCTTTTGCTACTATGGCTGTTTTTCTTTATTGGCAAAATATTGGGTGGTGGTTCTATTTTGGTTACTTATTTGGTAATCTTGCTTGAGTGATTCCTTGGAGACTGAAATTAGAAGCAGAAGAGTCACAGGGATCCTGGCAGGTTTGTCGGAGAACCTTGCATAAAGAAATTATCTTTACCACGTTGGTGGCATACCCCAACTTGGGGTGAGAGGTTGAAAGAAAGACCGTTGGAGTCATTTCCAGCACCATACAACAAAGAGAATCTTTCTGGTTAATTTTAAAAATTACAGGCTATAAATACTGTCAGCTTGTCCATTTCTATTTTAATCTTCACAAAACTTGAGTAGAATTTAAGAGAGCAGGTTGACCCACATGGAGTAAAATGGCTTTTTAAGAAATACAATATCCAGTCGGACCTATGTAAGTGTTATTAGAGGGATTTTTTTCTTTCTTCCCAATTTCATAGCAAGCTTGCTAAAAAGGATGACTGGTTATCTACTCATTTTGTAGATAAGCTATTTCTTTTTGTGATTATTTTGGGGGGGGGTTGTTTTTGCAAAGGAACTTACTTAGGAAAAAAAATCTCTGTCACTGAAGACATCCAGCCTCAGCCGGTGGCAAAAGTGTGTCTATGCTCCTTCTCATCTTGTAAAGGGAAAAGGCGGCAGGAATGTGCAGGGGCTTATTTGTTTCCACAAACCTAAGAGAAAATATTTCCTGACCTATAAATATAATAGGAAGCTTCTGGTCACACTTACTTAGGGGTTTGTTAGGGTTTGCATGGTCTAATTTCACAACATTATGCCAAGAGTCCTTTTCTCCTGTGTTTTCCCCTGCTTCACTGCTGGTGGCTCTGCAAGGAGAGTGTCTTAGAATTTTCTACCAGAAACAGTCATGTTCATTTGTTGAGCTTCAGAGAGGATTATGCCCAAACAGCCACATCCTAAAAGATGGGCTGATAAGAGGAAGACTGTCATTTTAGCTTGAAAGATGCCCTTTAGTGTCTCCCTGCTTTGGCTGGGGGGTCTATCCATGGCTTGCCCACCATGGAGAGGGCAGAGCATTGTGGGTTCCATCCCTTTGGCTTCTAAGGAGGGATTTCCTTGGAGTCAATGACAAAACTATTAATGGGGCTACTAGGCATGGGCTGAGGGGGTCAGCCTAGGCTCCCACCCACATAGGGGAGGGATCCATAATTCTAGCCATTCTAAGCCCCAGAACTAAAAGATCAGCCCAGGTTTGTTTTGTTTGGTATTTTTTCACAAAGAAATTTGTCCTTCTCCCACCAGATCCTTTCCCCACAAATGGGTCTTTTTAATAATAATATTTGTTATGAAGGTTATTAGGTAATTATTGCAATTTTGTGAAGCAGCCCTTGCTGGAGGTGAAGTCTGTCATCGCCTAACAAATGACGCCCGCGCAGTTCACTGCCGGGTTAAGTAAATGCAGAGAAGATAAATCTGCACACCCTAGGAATCGCCAGCAGAGCACGCTTTAGTACAAGTTCACAGTCAACTTGCCCGCCTGGGCTAGCTCTCCCAAACAATTAGGGCTGCATCTTTATTTTTAAATAAAGAAAAAAAGTCCCCATTTCCCATTGCTAGTCCCCCCATCTTCTCTTTCATTTTTTTGAAAAATTCTCCTGTTCTACTCCAAATTTACCTTGTTACTGAAATCATGAATGATTTCAAGTTAGTCTAGTTCCTATGTAAGTGCTGACAAAAATAAGTAGCAGACTAATTTGACAGGAAATACAGTCAAAAACACACAGAAATATCCAGTTCACCCTCCAGTTCCAAAAGGCAGTGGCAGAAGCAGAGTATCCTGAGATCTTCAATCCAGGGGGTTGGGGTGGGGGAGCTTCTCCCTGAAAGAAGAAGCTCAGCTTTGTGTATCTTTGTGGTTAGTGTGCTACAACTGCAGGTCAAAAAGTTGAGGGTCAAAAGTTTACATTGTGTAGCACTCTTAGTCATCTGCCCAGACAGAGTTTGATGTCAATGTTAGAGCTGCGATCTTGACTATCAGCACAAAAGATAAAATGGCTCGGAGTGACGCGTGTATCACAGTATGGACTCCAGGTGAACCCTAGTGGTTGAATGACCTCAATTACGGAGGAAAGGATAGAA